CTGACATAACGTACAGTATGAACTTTGGAGATGGTACAACATTTTCTTTACAAGAATCATCGTCAAATCCAACCAGCAATGATCACACAACAGCACAAATTGACGAGTCGACGGTGACAATGGTCCATACCTATACCACTCCAGGATACTTCAATGCCAATGTAACAGCTGCAAATACTTTTGGAACAGCAACATCCACATTATGTCCGACAGTTGTTGTGGATACAGAATCTAACCCAGTCTGTTCTGTACAAGGTGTTCTGTTTAAGGGAATGAATTCCTCATTAAGTAGTCCATACGAGGTGAAAAGGTCAGAGGAGACTTTGATAACCATAGACGAGGATATGCAGTGTCCTATCAATGCCACTGCCAACTATTCCTGGAAGGCCACAAAATTGTCACTAATCAGTGGAACTCAAACTGAGACAACTGTGCATGAAATTTGTTTATTTCAAGAAAGGAACAACACTTTGACGATACCAGCTCTAGCCCTATCGTATGGTCTGTATAAGATAACTGTTACAGTTGCTCCTGAAGGTTTTGATCTTCACAGTTACTCTAAAGTTCTTTATCTTAAAGTCGTCATGTCAGACCCCATCGCTGTTATAGAAGGAGGAGAAGTGCAAAGTTTCTTAGTGTACGCTACCGCCATATTTGATATATCCCAATCACGTGATCCAGATCTACGTTATGATTGGAGGAGAGGTGTGTCATATGACATGTTTTGTATGCCCGAATTTAAGCTAGCTGATAATGAGAATAAGAATCTTCAGGAGTTGAAGTCGGAGGCTGATTTTGTGGGAAATAAGACTATGTTTCGGACTGCTACTAAAAATGCGATAAATTTCCATCAAATAGGGACGTGTTTTAATGACACAGTGAGTCTAATGGAAGATCTAGCCGTGTTTAATGGAAAGATCACATTCGCGGCTAATCTCTTTACAGATTATTTTTCATTTGGATTTATTTTATATGTGTCCAGAGGTAATCTATATGATAGCTTTAAACAGATTGTAGAAGTTAGAAAAAGTAATGCCAGTTTAGATGACCTGTCCTCGTTATTAGATATAGCTTTAACAGCTGATCCCGACACTGCAATTAGATTATTGGACGGTGCTGCTTCATCTATCCTCAACGCTGCGGTAAGTTGCTTTTATTCAAATCCTATGATTGCCTTGTATCCTTCTTGTTAAATGTGGCATTCCTATTTTTTATGCATCACCATCTCTGATCTGAAAAGGATCTGGATTAATTTACCTCTCTTGTGTTATTCTTTGCTTTATTGGCGGGTTTCTTTTTGGGATATATATTGTTTTGATCATTAATAAAAAAAAAATATAACTGACTAAGCTTACATCCATTCTTTTATTTTAGCCAACATCTGTGGAAGAGCAAGAAAAATTGGCAAGCGTAAGTATCTGGTTACTTCTTAATCAAATAATTATATATATTCGTTATAACAGAAGTGAATGCCGAATCAAAGTAACAGCTTAACGCTGGCTTCGGTAGTGTGGTAATTGACATGAATTTTTATCTTCTGTTATCTTTTGTTGTTCTCTTTCAGAACACGGAAGCCGTTGTTGGTACACTAGGATCAGTGGCTAAGAGAGTCGACAATTCTAACCAAGCTACTAAATGCGCAAAGACATTTGGTACCATGACTAGTAATAAAGACCTAGTTAATGAAGAATCTCGAGTAAGTATGTTTACTGTTCAGTCATTGTTGGGATTTTACTCTATGACCACACCAAACCACTCACATGCTTAAATTTTCCCCCACAATCATTATGCTAGTTTAATTTTTATCACTACAACTACATTTTCGCCCTTCTCTGACCAATGAAAGCTTATTTATTAGGAATCACGAAAAACTACAAGCATGGAGCACCCACGAACGAATATATAACGGCTCTTTTACAAAAGAATATATAAAACTATTAAGAATTAACGACATGTGCTAATTCAGATCTGCATTCATATGTCCATCAACTATTTTGGATCAAGTGTTTCAGAAATGCTAGGTTGAAAAAAACTTCATCAATACTTTTGAAGGTATCGTTATGATAGATGCCTAATAATAAATGCATCATAATAGATGCATTATATTAGATGCATTACGATTCATTATATTTTCAGAGTAAAGCTGCTGAAGGACTGGGTGACCTGGCTAACGGAACAGCTAATATGGAAGATGCAACAGTCGAAGATGCTTCCGGGTTTGCTGCAGGTAACCATCAGACCAATTCAGTAGGGAACGGGAATATATTACACACTTTATCACACCCGGCCACAACAAGTTTAGTGGGATGATGTATAAAGTATTACACTGATTTGCTCCTCCCCTACTTTCAAATTTCTTATCATTTAACAAAGGTAGAGAATGACCTGTGAACTCCCTTAACAATTCTCCTACACGCCCATCTCACTGTATGATTCATGAAACGCTAATGCTTATAGCATCCCTTCCTACTAATATGACAAACATTTCATACTTCTGTTTCATTTCAATATCCCTCTCTTTTGCTTTCAGCATGCCTTGGTGGATTTGACAACATCTTTCCAACTAAAGTAGCGGAAAAAGCCAAGAGAACAAGAAATTCTGCTGAGACAAAGGTTAAAAGGTCTGTAGGTTCTTTGCCAGAGATTCTAGAAATGACAACAGTCGGCAGTGCCACTACCTTACCTCCATTGGACTTCACTACCAGTAACTTTCTTGAGGAAGACCAAGCTCGTGCTGATAACGATGAAGAATATGAGTACTCAATGGCACCTTGTGATGTAGCTACCAGGCTTCTTAACAAGCTTCCAGAGTTAAATACCTACGATGAACTCCTGTACTTTATTTGTGATGACTGTGCCCTGTTTAGAAAGGTTATGAAGACTATAACAGTCGAGTCAACATGTCCGTGCGTGTCTCTAGATCAAATTAACGAAATGCAGTGTAACGGAGATTTCACCATGCAGGATAAGATATTTGCTGTGATGACGTATCTGGAACATCCGGGTGATCTGTATCAGTATTATGTGAAACCATTGTTGGAAGCTAAACGTCAGCGGGATGAAGCCAGGCGATTGACGGTAAGTGCATCAAAAAAGAAGTTTTAGAGGGTTAGAGTGAGACATTTCACATTACCATATTCCTTCTGTGCCAAACTGATTCGGTTTATCAAGAGAATTGACATCAGCTAATTGCACCTATTTGACTCATTTGATACACAAGGTAACGATACCTAACCAATCTATTAACTTTTCGTTTAAATTATCTTTTTCAGGATGGTAAAGTATCCAAATCCGGTTCTGATGCTCTGATGACTGTAGCAGGAACAATTAACGGAAAGGCTTCTGATGATGACAGAGAAGAACGAAGTTTTGAATCCAGTCGTTTGGGAATGAAAGTCCAAAAAGTTGGCAACAGTAAGAATGGAACTGCAAACGGTAGGCATGATTTACACCATCCTTAAACTCATATTACCCTCTTTTTGAATAAATTAACTGAATGGGCAGGCATAAGGTGTACCGGTTATTGAGTGTATGTCATCAAATAAAAATCACCTTTGTAATCTGTCCATTCATTCTTACCATTGACTCTGTGTATATTTCTTTTAACAGATACAAAGAAACAGTCTATGGAAATGCCAACTGGAGCCTTCAATCTGCCGATGTCAGTATTATCTGGTGCTGCAGACTGTGAAAATGTTAACACTATGGTAGGTTGAGGAACAAAGAGCAAACAGAAGATCTTCTTTCTTCAGTTTATAATAATGGTATCTGTATTGGCCTGGTATTGACTATCAACTCATTCCACCTGTATAATACCTATATCCATATGTACTGGATACTAATTGGGTGTAAATCATCATTCTGCCTCACTACGAGCCGTTAATAATTCAAGTGTTGTTTCACTATTTCAGTTCCTAGGTGATAAAGACAACCCTTACACCTATTCTAAAGAGACAGCTAATGTCGGAAAAGGCGTATTGACTCTTGGATATTCGTGTGGTAATGAAAAAGTCACTGTTCAAGATACAAAGGAACCCATCGAATTGTGGATGAATCGTAAGTACCAAAAGAAACCAAAGAAATAAAACGTCGAATATTTTTTTATTTTTCAAAGATGCATTTAAACGAATTTTGTGCATAACACGGCTACAATTGTCCAGCTACCCTAACAAACATTTAAGAGTCCAGCAATGGACGATGATGTGCACGTGTTTCTTTACTAAGGTTGACATTCCAGAATATTTTCTGCTGTTCTACTCTGCGTTTATTCTCTTTTGAATTCCATTTTGGACATCCATGTGCCCTTTTTCACATTTTCATTGTATTTCCCTTTCAGGGGAAGCTGAAGCCTATGAACCAGGAACGTTTGTTTTATTAACAAGATGGGGAGATGATAAAGTCGCCTTTAATTATCACCCGCTAAATATCACAGATAAAAACGCCTCCTTGCAAGTTGTTTTAAAACCATTTGCTTTCAATGAAGCATTTGATGTATATGTGAGTTTTGGAATAAGACCAAACGAAACTCACTATGATCACATGGAAACAGTTCCTAAAACTGATATTTCACATCTTGGTGAAATTCAAGACGAACGGGAGAAAGAGGAACTTATGAATACAGTCACAGTTCCTTTAAATAAAACATCAAGCAATGGTACTTATTGGATTGGTGTTAAACTTCAACGTAAGTCAATTATACATATCCTGAAAGGATGAGTAGAGACACATTATGAATGTTCACATAAATATTATGAAATATAACGACAATCCCGTGCTTTCTTCATCTCCATTCCATATGCTCATTATAGTGTGACACTGTGAATATGATCGGGAGTAAAAAAGATGCTTTACTTTTGATAGTGCATGCATAATCTTCTGCAACGATAAACGTATTTTATAGACTCGTACCTTTCACCATCTTTACCAGCTAATAGCAGTTTAACAATGTATTATTTCTTACAGGTGGTACAGTTTCACTGACTGGTGAGTTGACGAACCATACATACTCATTATTGAATCTGGTGTCAGGTTGTCGATACTGGGATGAAGAGGAAGAAAGATGGTCATCGAAGGGATGCAAGGTTAGTTGATATTTTAACTTTTGCCTATCCCCTCTCCGTCCACAGAATTAGTTTTATAGGTCTTAGTTCTTAAAAAAAGGGTGTGAAGATTTGTAAAGATTACTGTATGAGACATTTTTTTTTATCACGCTATCTAAGGGTAGATGCTTAATTTGATAAGATATTCCTATGCTGTAACTGCAGAGTCTTTTTTTAAATATTGATCTAAAGATGGGATACTGGCAATTAACCATAAATGTATCTTCATCTTCTTGCAGGTTGGAGAACAAACAACTAAATATAGAACACAGTGTTACTGCAATCATTTAACATCATTTGGTTCTGATTTCGTTGTACCAGTAAATACGATTGATTTTACCAATGTATGGGCCAAGTTTAATAATCTGAGTGAAAACGCCGCTGTGTTCTCAACTATCATCACTGTATTGGGACTATATCTACTGTCATTGATATGGGCTCGATACATGGACAAGAAAGATCTTCTGAAGGTAATAAACAGATGTCATTCATTACATAATATGAATTTGAGCTAGGTTATCGCCCCAGATTCCCAAAACTATGATTCGATTAGTTAATAATCTGAGGCACTGTCCCTCTGGCCTTCTTGAACACTTTGTAAAACCTTATTTGGGTTGAACGACCAAATATTGTTTAGATATAAGTTCATTAATCCGTATCCTAACTCATTGGTAGAACATTGAAGAATGGGGTATAATGCGACATCTTTATGTTTCAGTGGGGAGCTCTTCCGCTCTCCGATAACCTACCAACTGACAACTATCACTACCAGATGACTATACAGACTGGTATGAGAAAGAATGCTGGTACAGAATCAAAGATTAGTTTTATTCTCTCTGGTGATGATGCTGATACTGGTGTCAGAAGATTGTGGGATGAAAAAAGAAAGGTAATTATGATCTTGTTACGCATTCTCAGTACTATCTGATATGTGAGCTACCTAGTCTGCGATATCAGATTCTGCTGAAACGGACGTTAACTTTACCAGAAAACCAATCAAATTTGATATCCATCTCCAGACCATCATCTCAATGACGACTTTGTAATATTCCACTGTTTTAAAAGAAAATTAGAGTATCTTTAAGTCAAGTTGTCTCATCTTATACTCGTCTTAAATAAGATCAATTTATTTCCTCTTCACATGGTTTGAACTACATCGTTAATGGTGTTCTACATTTCTATTTTAGCGTATTCCTAGAGGAACAATATTCAATTACGTATTAAGTGTTGAAGGTCCACTCGGACCACCAAGTTTCCTGAGAATCTGGCACGACAATTCTGGACCTGGTAAATCGAAATCATGGTACCTTGATCAAGTACAGCTGACTGATTTACAAACAGGAGAAAAGTAAGTTTATAGGTTTTGGGTTTCAGTAGATCCGGGAAATGTATTCCTTGATAATGGGTCGTATATCCGAAGATTAAAACAGACAATAGAAAATGGATGAGCTGTTTAAGAGACGAAAAAGAATATTCATTTCACTTTGAAAATGGACATGTATATATTTAAAGGACCACCCTATTATTTGATCCTTTGTTGGCACTATTATAAACTGAAAGTCTCAATAGGATTTATCTGTTATACTGGCAATGGCTTGGAGCCGTGTAAGTTAGTCGTGTATTAAAATTCAAATAAATCTTTACAGGTTCTTCTTCCTGTGTGATCGGTGGTTGGCTGTTGAAGAAGATGATGGTATGGTGGACAGGATAATTCCGGTTGCTGGCATCAATGATCTGATAGCATTCAAACAACTCTTCTCGTCGTCTGCTAGGAAGAAATTAGCCAATGAACATCTGTGGGTGTCTGTATTCTCTCGACCAACCCGTAGTAATTTTACCAGAGTACAACGTATATCATGTTGTATGGCTCTTCTTTTTCTGACCATGATCACCAACTGCATGTTCTTCAAGGCGGAAGACAATGTACAACATGTTACAGCCCTGACATTAGGACCGTTCCAATTCACCCTACAGCAGGTCTACATCAGCGTAGTCAGTACCTTGATCGTTTTCCCAGTCAGTTTCTTACTGGTTACATTCTTTAGACGATGCCGGCCAAAGAAGAATACGATCATGCAAAATCATCAACAAGTCAAACGAAACAAATTTAAATGGAAGAACGTCAACCAGTCTAACCAAACAGCATTATGGGGTCCTCAAGTGAAGAAAACCAGAATGGCTAAACTGAAAGATAGCTTGACCAATATTCTAAGTGTTCATCAGAAATCGAAATATGAAACTGGACAGACACAGTTGAATTCTAACAAGCAAGAGAAGAAAAAGAGGAAGAAAGAACCTTTCACTTTACCTCATTGGTGTTTATACGTCGGCTGGATCTGTAAGTTAACATTCATCTCTTTCAATATTCGTAATTTTGCAGATTGCATGATGACAATATCCAAAGACTTCTGTAACCGATAAGAGTCTTGCGTTTCAACGATTGGTGCGGACACACGAGGAGACAAAAATCTCCAGTCCGTCGTTTTTCACCTTGTCGATAATCATAAGCATGCAATTGAAAGGAAAAGGAATCTGATTGGATGATGACGATCTTACTTTTGGGAGATTTAACTGAAATTAGTTTTCTTCTATCTGTTTAATTTTGTTAGTGTGGTAGCATAGTAGCAATCCTTTTGAATCTTATCCATCACCTATTTGAATTTGTTTTTCAGTGTGTTTCCTGAGTATAGTTGGTTCAGCCTTCTTTACTATTCTGTTCAGTATGGAATGGGGAGCTACTAAATCTAATGACTGGTTGATAACATTCTGTATGTCATTCTTCCAATCGGTCATCGTTATTCAACCAATTAAGGTAAGTCTCTTCAGTTCAGACTTATATTTGTTATTTGTTACACATTAAAAATAAGAAGTCTAAGAGAGAGCAAAGTAAGCACATATTATCTGATCTTAACTGGGAACCTAATTCTCCAAAACTTAACTAAGATTAAATCCATTTTTTAGAAATACAGTATTTTGACTTGATAGTACAACTCAATTTAAATCGATTTTAGTGAATCATCTAAATCATAAGTCAAGTTTTCGAAATAAGGCCCAGTAATAAATGCCAGTCACACAGAAATGGTCTTTAAATTAAAGTGTACAATATGTAAACTTTCTACTGTAGGTATTGCTGATCGTTGCCTTCCTGGCTTGCATCCTCAAGAAACCTGACCTAGACGAAGAGGAAGTCCATGAAGATTTTGATACTATTATACAACATGATGAAGAAGCTGAGGCTAAGAAGAAGGATGTTGATGTTACTGGTAGGTAGATTCATATGATCACATGAGTATATTAGTTGTAAGCTTCAGAGACGTTTCTATAAATCATTAGGTTGTCTTAGTAGGGGCCAAAAGTTTGCCAAAGGGAGCTCGCAGGATTTTCCTTCCTAATGGAGGGGTCAAGGGGGTATGAACCCCACGTTTAGGAGTTTAACATCCCACTCGTCACATTAAAGAGCTGTCGTATTCGTCTTCAGCATGTTGGTTGGAATATTAATCAAAGTAGTTAGTTTGTGGACCTCTTTCTTTGTTTCAGCCTTAATGATGCAGAGAAAGCTAGCCAACAGTGACTATAGACCTCCAGATCTATCAGAACTAGAAGAAACTAGGCAACTCAGACTCAATGAGATTAAGATGGAAGCCGTGGTGAAAGATATATTGGTGTATGCCTTCTTCGTCCTCATCATATTCTTCTTGTCTTATCAACAAAGAGATTCCGAATCCTTCCTGTTTACGGAAAATTTGAAGAATAGATTTTCATCAAGCTTTGGAAATGTAAGTCGACTCTTTTAGTCAATATATGCTTTGGTGTGTAAGAAAGAATGAACGTCATATTTTAAAACCATAACAGCTTAAGTTCCAAGGATTTTTCTACAAGATTATCTAAAGCCTTTAAGAAAGATATGTCCCTATTATCCTACCCATGTAAGGATGGCTATAGTAATCATATTCCAATATTCTCGACAGAATCAAACTAAAATGTGCGCAGATAAAGGGTGTAAATTCAGCAAAGTATTGCTAGCTCTCATAGCTCTCGTCCTTACTTCATATCTCAATTTCCATTCATCAGGTTCAAACAATACCGGACTATTGGAAATGGTTGGAGAGACAGTTTCTACCCAATTTCTACGCTTCTCAGTATTTCAACTCTACTACTATAGTCAACTGGCACGACAGAAACTGTATCTCTGATTTAGATACCAGAAGAGTTGGTGTGGCTAGAATTCGACAGATGAGGATTAAGGAAGGTGAGAGAAACAGCACACAGTGTCTTGACAAATTTGATTTCAATGATAGAGATGTATAAAAATTCTAATATAATGAACTCAAAGGGTGATCTTGAGACATAACCCGCGTACTGACCAACGACAGAGATAATACTTCTAACATCCATCTGTGGAGATACAAACTAGAACAACTTTTAGATTTGTGTCCAGGAACCTTTTAGATACCTCGAAGCACTGGGTATCTCCCTATTGTACAAGACTGGACAGGTAATGCCTTAACATCACCGGGACTATCCCAAAGTGTAAATCATTCATTCACTAAACGTAAAACTCTGTTTAATTTCCCTTCTCTTTACTTTCAGATTCGTGTGAGCTACGTGGTGTAATGAAAAATTTTATCAATCACTGTCGAAGTGATTACGGGTGGATTTCTGATGATACAAGTGATTATTTTACTAGATGGGTGACACCAGTTGGTATCAATACTTCATTGTTGGAGGACGCCACTACACCATGGGTGTACCAGAACTCCGTCCAACTGAAGAATGCTCCATATGTTGCTAATATTGCTACCTATAAGGGTGGTGGATACGTTGCTTTAACAAAACGTCAACTGTGCAGAACCCGGAAAGTTGTTGAGACTCTGAAGAAACAGGATTGGCTTGATCTCCGAACCAGAGCTGTGTTCTTAGAGTTTACAGTCTACAATCCAAACTCCAATCTGTTCGGTTCAGCTGTACTTGTAGCAGAGTTTACAGCGCTGGGAAGAGCATTTACTAGAACAGAATTTAAGGTAGGTTGCTGAATTTCCTAGACGACAGACAAATATTCTGCCCCATAGTGTTAATCCCTCTATCTTTGCGTTGATAATTCATTAGAAACACCAATTAATCAAATAGTTTGCTTATTTTGACACTGAAATAAGGAAACCCATCTTTAAGTATACACTGAATACGGAAATAGTTAAAGCTGATGTTCATCATCACACTCCATTAAAATTAAGAGTCTCGTCGTACTATCAACATTGCTGTTTACTCGATGCCTATTGAAGGACGTATAATCAATGTACCATATATTATATTTTCTGTATTTTCAGGTGTTCCGTCTACTAAGTTATATTGGTGCTTGGGGTGTTGTCGTGGTTCTATTTGAAGTGGTATACGCCTGCTTTACCCTCTTTTTCTTTATACAATGTATTAAAAAAGTAAAAAAGAACAAGATGAAATACTTCAAGGATTTTTGGAGTCTTCTAGAATTTGTGCTATTGACATTTGCTGTTACTGTAATTGCTATGTATGCTTTTAAACATATTTTAACCAATCTGGCATTTGATGCACTCTTTGACAGAGAATCGGGTAAGTGATTTGATTTTATATCTTCCAGGAACGTTTAAATATTCCTTAATTTTCCTTTGTGGATGGTTACATTGATGCAAAAGCGGTGCTTTTATTACTTCAATATTTCGACAGCTTCTTCAGCTCTGCTCACCATTCTAAAACACTCGATGTCACTGTATGAGTTTTTTTTTCATTTTTAATGAATTTAATGAATTCCTTCTATTTTTGTATTTATTATTAAAGAAATATCCTTTGTATTTCCTTTCATTAACCTTTCGGTTTGGATTGTTCATTTCAGATGGTTTTGTGAACTTCCAATCTGTAGCGTTATATGATGAAACTTATGGCTATATGATGAGTTTTGTGGTATTTTTGGCTACGATCCAGTTCTTGAAGCTACTGCAGTTCAATCAGAAGATGAATATGTTGGGAGATACCATCAGGGTAGCCACAAAAGATCTTAAGGTCTTCAGCATCTCCTTTTTACTCTATTTCTTCACCTTTACAGCGACGGCATATCTTTTATTTGGTCCGGCTATGGCCACATACAACTCACTTATAGGAGCTGCAGAGTCAATGTTCGCTTTTGCTCTGGGAAGCTTCGACTTTGAAAGTATGGCTGACACTCAACGAATTCTTGGTCCCATCTTTTTCTTCTTGTTCATTGGTGTGGTGTATATTGGTTTGATGAGCATCTTCTTAACCATAATCGGCGAAGCGTTCACCAGAGTCAAGGAGGATGTCACACTGCGTACGAATGAATATGAAATTGTGGACTTTATGTGGAAGAGATTCAAAGCGTTGCTGGGATTGAACTGATTGCCATAAAGGTCAATATTTAGTTCACTGTGATATTGGCCTGATTAAAGAAAGTTATGCAAAAATAAGTTCAATATATTGAACACACTATAAACATTACTCATACCTATTAGTGAATCATTGAATATTGAAGATCCAGGACCTTTTATCAGAAAATTCATATCTTATATGGTCAGTATCTAAATCCCATTGGTTAATGTATTCACTTCATTAATATCAACGAATGGAAGTGTATTATTGATGTAATTTAACAATTTCTTGATATCATGATTTTGCCGAAAACAGACCTTAACTCATAATTTATAAGAATCTAATTTAATATTTTTGCACCAATTTCTCGACATGCGTGTTTATACTATTGCGCCAATATCACCCACTGCCCGTGCGTCAAATATCTGGCGACTGTTTCCTTATCGTGATTCCGTCCATGTAGAAGCGATCATCTTTTAATTTGAAGTCACCCTCTGATGTTAAAGCACATTTAGGACATCACCACCAACAACAACAAGCTGCCCATCTAGAAGATATTAAAAAATGTGCCGTTTGACCAATACATGCAAAATGGATTGCGCTTGACACAACGCACGTTTTATTTTGACAAGGACATCACATGAACTTAATCGCCAATTTTTCTGTATTGAAGTACTATAGAATTCTGATCCCGTAGTGTATGAATATAGTTAACTATAGAAATCTGCGAGATCAAAGCTGTTTACTACAAGTATTCCAAAAGGACGTGGGCTCTTTCATTTACTCATTCTGTCAAAAAATAAAACTCTGTTTGACATGCAACGTTTCAATTAACACTTAATCTATCTCCACAGAATAGGACAATAATATCAATATTTCATTAATTGCAGGGCGATAGGAAAATATTCAATCAAAACGCCAAGCAATTATCAGTCAACCGAACCATTTTAAATTGAGTTCCTACATTGAGGTTCACAAGATCTACACAAGTAGTTCTTTCACGTGAAGTACTTATTTAAAATGAAGTTAATGTCCTCTAACAGCTGATTGATGATCCCCGGATGTGCTTTAATATCTTTGATCTACATATAACTTTCACTGTTTACAACATCTTTCCAGAATTTAACTATGTTTTTGTTACTTTGTTAGTAAATTCAAAATTAACTGTGATATTATAGAACTGTTTTAAATTTATGTACATTATTTATGAGAATTAGAATAAATATTTTCTTTTGATCCCAAATATGTGTATCATAAACAGGGGAATTCATTCGTATAATAATTCTTTTCCATATTCATCGTTCAATTAGACAATATGTTAATTAGAAACAAAAAACTACAATGGACAATCCTGTTTGCATCGAAAGGCAGTTGGCCTACAGATCGGAAAAAAGCAAAGCCTGCAAATCTAAAACTATTAAGACAGCCATTGAACATCGGCGGCCTAAATTGAATTATTAGTTTGGGGTTTTCCTGAAAGACCATGAAGATGCATTTGGATAGATAACAATGGTATACATGTATACTCAACCATGTGTCATTATTACTCTTGTCAACACATTTTCCTTATCCGGTCACATGACATTAGTGCAGATAACTCTTCGTTACCAAAAGGGAAACAACTCTTGTTTGACATGATGGATACAGACTACAATAGTAAAAGTAAAAATGGTACTAAAGTCAAAAGATAAAAATATGCAATGCCCCTCAAAAGAAGGGTTGTCATGTTTAATAAATCAACAAATATAATACTAGTTATATGTTAACAATCTATGGAATATATTAAAACTCTTGGGGATAAACGCAATAGCAATATCTGACAAATAATGAAGTGTTTTAATACATTACCTTAAGTTAAGTTACTTCACTCAGTTTAATTTGATTGGCCGGATTACTGAGCATAGCTCTTAAGATTATTGTATTTTTCTGACTATTACGTCACTTATATTGAAGGGCTTGTATTATGTCATAACCCTGAACATATCACTTTTAAGATTATAGTTTCAATCAAATTTTCTATCTGTTCACAATTCTATATAGCATTTGTTTCCTGCTTATGTCTCTTACAATGTTTTGGACCATTTAGAAAATAATACTGCATTACATTGCCATGTATATTGCAAATTGTGATGTAACTAATACATAAATGACATAAAAAATAGTTAAAACACTAGATTATAATTTCCTTTAAATTTTGACCAATGGCTTAAAATATCGAGATTTGACAAAATTGTGGTTTTTCATATTATAATAATTATAATAAAATCTAATAGTTTTTGTGAAATGGGCAAACACAAGTGAGATTAATTAAGTAGTCTACTATGATATAGTGAGTAACATTCAAACATCACCTCCATAGACTTTCAATTATCTATCTTCAAAGCTCCTTTCGCTCTACTGAACACGCCTGCTTTAGGATTCATTCTCAAAGCTTCTTTGCCCATCTCCTTATTGGCTTCTTTACTCGTCATTTTAATTCCCGGATCTTCGGAAAACAACGGCAGTAATCGGTTAAAGTCGGGGAAATAGAAATTAACAAGCTCATCATCTGCTTCAGTGTAACCATTGACAAATTTCAGTCCAGGTCTGTTGTAGTTGACTCCGGTGTTCCATGGTGACATGCTATTTATACCATCATTGACGTTATCTAACTTCCGGTTGATGAGGTCGAATCTGTTCAGTGCGTGTTGGGGACTGTCTTCTGCGGTACTGCCAGAGTAACCTTAAAATACAACCACATGGTGAGTCAATATAGTTAATTGCAGCTACCATATAGGACGCGTGGGATATGCTTAGTTGGAGTCAATTTATACCGGAAGTAGTCCCATCGAACAGTCAGAGACTTTCAACATGACCAATGATAAAGAAGGAAGTTGTTATAATGGAATGGATTCATTTGTGTGGCCTATCTTTTATATATATCGTCTTCATTAGCCCACCTGGTGCAGAAAATAGGACGTAAAACTCTCTTCATTTCTTATATTTTTATATACAATTACACCAGTGGAGCCCCAAGTGTGTCCCTAGTGGACTACAGGCTATATATGTTTCAGATCACTCGATAATTGGAGATTGATAGCATTATTTTCCATTTCCTGAATAGCTGTTGAACAACAAAATATCTCACCCGCTTTATACTTCTTAGTAACATTTTTAAAGAAACGAGCAACATCCACGAACATCCAAGACTTAAATCGTATTTTAATGAAGTCCACCAACTCATAATCATTCGACAGTTCTTCCAGATTTCCTCTGACCACTGCGAACGAATCGTTCATTATAGTGACGAACATATTGAGAAGGATGAAGACGATAAAGAGAATGAAGGCGAAGAAAAAGATAGGTCCAAAAATCCTGAAATGAAAATCAAACCGTTTACAAGAAGAACAACATTCTACGAACACTGATGATACCACGTGATCATTTCGGAAAGTCATCGGGCAAGTCTCATCAACTTCTTTTAATGGTTAATGAATATGGTATATTTGAATGCGTTTTTCAGATCAGCTTACTGCGAGACTATTTTAAGAAGACAATTTTACAATTGTAATTGTAATCCAACTACCACCAACTACTACAACTACCAACAACTACCTAATTTGCGATATCAGCATCCGCTGGAAGCGAACGTTAACTTGTCATCTACCTACCCACCTACAATTGTATCGCTATACCAAGTGCACTGATGATGGCTTTTACATCATAATATGATCCTTTGTAAGATCAAGTACAATAGAAACAATTACCTATTAACACCAGAAAGATCTTCATAAGCATATTTCCCAAGAGCAAACGATAACAAAGTTTCTAATGTTGTCAGTACAGAGCTATAGCTTTCCAGATAGGGCCCAAACACCATATAGGAGAACGACATGAACGCTGTTACCCAGATAGCAAAACAAAAGGAAAACGCTGACAATTCTTTAGCAGCAGTCATTATGGTCCAACCCAGCATCGACATTTTTCTATTAAACCGGAACATGTGAATCAGTTTAATTGTAGATAGGAAGATGATAAACGCCAATAAAATTGAAAACAGTTCATCCCATAACGCCATTCGTTGAAAGTTGTAGAAAGCATCTGAAAAGGTTAACAACAAAATGATCTCAGTAAGCTATGGGAAACGTATAGCTGATATGCACTTTTTAATTTCTCGTTCGACATTCAAGGAAAAATTGCCCAAATCGTGCAAACACCATTCGCACTATGAGACAGAGAGCTGCCCACGATACATTTCAAATTGGTTTCTTGCTGTAATGAATTATAAAATTTCATTTTGATGTGATGTGTTACTAAAAATAATTTATATCGGCAAAATTTGCAAAATTTCCCCTGTAACATTTCAACAGCAAGTTATACTAACCTCTTAGTTTCTTCACAGTATTTGTAGCTCTGGAAGTCAACAAATGTCGTCCAGTGTACATGACCACACACGTTATAGACAGGGCAAAGTTAAGGAACTCAACACCGTTCCAAAACGTGGTAAAGAAAGCTCGACGTTCTTTCCTCAGTTTCTTTAACATACGAGTCGAAAAATACAGGATGAATAAAAGCGTCAGTACATCACAGAGAGCCACCACTACCCCGTAACCGCCAAGATAAGAAAATAATCTAAAAGTCTTGACCACTATTTCACTAACGAAGGACCCTGATGCTGGAACTTCAAAAGCTACAGTTGTCTGAGTGAACAGATTAACATTTGGATTATACAGTGTGAATTCCACAAACAGTGCTCTCGTTCTGTGATCTATCCACTTCAGTTGAATAAGATCCTCGATCATATTGTCCACCCGACGTCGAGCTCCTATTAAATCTACTATATATCCACCACTGGGATAGACACCAATCTTTCCTGCATGTGGAGCACCATTAGTCTCTGAGTCGGTTCGATACTTCCAAGGATAGTTTACAACATCTGAGATTGACGTGTTAACTGTTAGTGATTTCCACCCTTCTGAGTACGGTTCGTTGTCCTGAGTATCCCAATCCCAGTCACCATTACATAATATACCACTCTTCCATAGCAACCGTGGTAATTTGCACATCTCTGAAATTGTTAGTTAAACGGAAACATAAAGAAAAAAGTTGCAGTTCGAAATATATAAAGATTAAAATTATAAAAAAAACCTATAATATTCTCAAAGATATGTACACATATTCAGCTTTGAAAATCTCTCCATAAATCGAGTTAAAACGGTCAAAAGTATCAATTAGAAATTTCAAATAGAGACAAAGTACCTGTATCTATATAAATTTGGGACTTAACTATCTAAAGTTATTATCATATATAAGGGTAGAAGTTTTTCTCAGAAGTTTACAATATGGACCATAAACAAAAAAATTCATACCGACAGTAACCCGGTGTTGTCTAATTCTAACGGGACCGACCCTGTAAGAAGCCATGTCTGACACCATTCTCTGATCTCCAGAATCAAGTACAGGATCCCCATTGAACGTCTTAGATATATAGATATTCGGTACCAGTTCTTTCCTCGTCCAATCCCAGAAATTAGATATAGATCTTATCTGGAAAAAAGCATCAACGTTTATGGCCTTATATATGATATCAGTATATCTGGATGGTGCTTTCGAAGCTAATGTCAAATTGTTAGAGCATGGATGATTCGGCGTTAGCTTCTTCCATTTCAGTGACAAAACAAAATGAACTCGTACCAGGAACTCCGGCTGGCTGGCTTCATTGTTGTAAATTTCACAACCAACCATGAAAGATCTAAAAGAATATAGCATGAATATTTACCCCTCCTGTTTTAATCTTTGGAGTAATTTGCCACAACACAGCTTCTTTAGCATTGAAGGATCTGAAGTCTCGATTGTGGACAGACACCATCACGAGTAGAATGAGAAATATGACATAGAAGATTATCTCCCTTATAACACTAAACATCCGGATTTCTTTCAGTCTTCTCTCTCTGGCCAACATTAGATCCTCTTGATTCAACATTGGGGCTGGTAGTCGTGGTCGTGTTACTGAAAGAGATGATTCTTAACATGTTAACGTACAGGATTGCACCCAAATCGGAATCCTTGTCCAGTCTTGCTATAGGTGTATCTTTCTTCAGGGATTATTAGATAGTTTCAGTTGAATATCGAGACTTTGCTGACATATTGGGATGATTTCCAATGAAATGAGAAATCGAGACTTGGGTGATATTGTCCGATTGATAAAAAGCTTTCCGAGATTTGTTACACATTAATGCATTTTGCGAAAACACACTGGCACAGTAGCCTATTACATAAGGGAAATCAAAACAAAGCTTACCCGCAGTTGGTGCTTTTTCTGTGATTTCTTCATCTGAAAGTGGTTTTAATAAATCTTTATCCTCGATCACATCATCTAGTTCCGGTTTCTTTATCAACCAGGCCACGATAACAGCTATAATCAGGATCTGAAAGAAATAATTAGAAACTATATTACTGTAAATGTCAATGCCAGTTTCAAGTCTAAATTTTGGATTCTCGTTGTAGACATTCATATATTGAATATACCCAAAGCATATCAACATCGTCAATTTTAAGAATACAAGGAAATAGTTGGACAGGGAAGAAAGTACAATGGGTCATACGCTCAAAAAGTTAACATACAAACTCATTAGGGGCTGAAAGCCCCTAGTCCCCCGTTTCCTATGAGCTTAGTGCTTACCTTCATTGGCTGTATAAGAGCAACAGATTCTCCTAGTGATAATAACATGGATGATAACCAACCAATAGATTTAGTTTTACCCCATTCCATACTGTAGGAAAATGTAATGAAGGCAGAGACACCAGTTGTGGTGAAAACCAGCAACCAGCCGATATAAGCACACCAGTAGGGCAAAATTATCTTCTTACTGGATTTCTTCTTTGACTTTTTGCCTTTCTTCTCGTCGTCTTGTCGACTATCGGACCGAGTCTCTGATCGCGTTTCACATCTTGTTTCCGAGCTACTGGAAGATCGCGACTCAGCGCGTGTACTACTTCGACTATCCGTACGTGTTTCACATCTTGGGTAGTTCACGTCTTCAGTTTTCTTATTCAAGTCATCTTCTCTGTATTCCCAAGATGGATTCAGTCCAGTTGATGTTGATGGTCGAAGATCGACTCCTTTCATTATTTCATCAACATCCGCTAGTTCGTTGTCCTGAGTTATCACCCCTTCTTTACTCTTCTGCTTTTCAGTAAATAATGGCGGGACAGTTTTTGGTAAGTTTTTGTTTTTAGAATTAATGAAATCGTTCGTTATTTTATTAAAGCTACGAGGCTTACTTCTTCTGAAAAGCTGATCAATCAAAATATTTACTGGAAGTACAACTAAACTACACACGAAGCTGATGTAGATTTCGTGGACAGAGAAAACAAGTGGACCGATTTCGAACGACATTGTGTTCTCCATGTTGTCACTGACTTTATAGAACATGGCATCGGCCATCATGGTTGTAAATACTAATGATAGAATACAACCAACGCGTTGAACTCTTGTAAAGTAGCTTTTCTGTGGTCGAGAGAATACGGAAATCCATAAATGTGAATCAGTGAAATTCTTTTTTGTTTGAGAGAAGAAAAGGTGGTTAAAGTTTGTAACGTCACTATTTCCAGCAACCGGAAGTATTCTGTCGATCATACCATCATCTTCCTCTACAGCCAACCATCGATTGCACAGAAAGAAATATCTGAAATTGAACACAATAAATCTAAATTTTCCTATAATGCATGACATAGGACGTACACTGCTGGATGCAATTTGATCTTGCCGAATGCTGCTACCTTTCAAAGAGAATCAGCGCGTAGGCCTAATTCATACTAAAATTCAAGTTGAGATATGCTTAAAGAGTATTCTTATGTTGGACTGTTGAATCAAGAGGAAAATAGTCATGTGCATCAACAAACATATTTAGGCTACATATAAATCTACGAGACTTATAAATTTACTATCAAGGCTTAAATGTTGCCTCTAACTTACATTTGGTTTGTTTGAAGATCTGTCACAATGACTTTACTAAGATACCAGCCTTGATGCTTCTTCTTCCCAGAATTATCATGCCAGATTCTCAGGTATGATAAAGGACCAAGACCTTTTGGAACTCCCATTACGTATTGGTTGACACTTGATCTGTTGAATACCTGTGAATCAAACACAGATCTTTGATATTAACCATTTTATGATACTTTAAAGGAACGGTGCAAATAGAAACTTTGAACAATATTATTTTCTTCAAATATTTGAAGATGGTAATAACTTAATAATATGGTGTCAGTAATTTTTACCAAAGATTTTTTAAATGGGATCAAGCAGCCCGATATAACCCCAATCGGCAAATGCTTCAGTTTTGCATGTTCTAATTTATTAAAAAATTTGTGGTCAATTCGGACACAAGAAGTACAAGAAGTACGGTAATGAATAATTAAGTAGTTACCTTTTTGCCCTTTTCATCTATAAGCTGCCTGACACCAGTGTCCCCTCCATCACCAGATAGAACAAAACTAACTCGAGATCTAGTACCAGCTGATCCCCTCATTCCGGTATGGACACTTAACTGATAGAAGTATCGATCCCCAATTACATTATCAGCCAATGGTGCCACTCCCCACTGTAGATGTAAAAAAAAACATTAGAATACAAATGATTTTAATGTACAACCGAGGCATTGCTATATATATATATATCACTTTGCTTTGAGGACAATATCGCATGAAATCACTGATAAAAGCCTCGATATTGTTAACCCAACGACACAGATCAAAGGATTAGTGGTACAGATGCCTTGCTTATAACCACATTGTTCTTGTGGCGCCAGGCAGGGTTTGCTTACTCTTTGCGGTTCGTTCGTTAGTACTTGGTTTATTTCGTCAGACAACTATGTTAGTTTTGTAAATGATAAGAGTGAAGTATAATTCTTCAATTTACCTTTTCTACATCTTGCTTGTCTTTTCTCCTGGCCCAGACACTTGCCACCAGATAGACAAATATCATACAAGATATGGTTATTAGTACAGCGTTATTATCCAGCAGTTTAGCACCAAGATCATCAAAGACGGTATCAAAGTTGATTTGGTTAGGAGGTACAAATACACCAGAGGCAAAAGATGTTAAATGATTGCACAAACACCTGGTGAATTTGCTATTTGATATAGGACTGACCTGCAAAGGAATCAAATGATGAATATAGAAAGTACCAAGTCAAAATATTTAGATAACTGCGTTCTCCAAAGAAAAACACCCGGTTGACAAAGCACCAGAGCTTATCAGATCAAATAATTGTATCAGAATAACATAAATGTTCTAAATTTGCATAGTTAATGAAAATAACTAAAGAAAGTGTAAATCAATAACAATGGAAACATCCAGAGCTTTGAAATTAACTCATGATGCTACGGTAGAAGAAGCAGGAGAAGTAGAAGCAATAATTGAATTCCAATTAAGCATGTACACCTACCTCGCATCCTGCTGTAGACCAAGACTCACTTTCAACATCCCAGAATCTACAATCGGAGGTGACTATTTTAAATGTGTAGTTAGCCATGATGGTTTGTTCTTCCTCTTCCCCATTATAATCATAGTAATCACTGTAATCATCTATCTCAGTTTGATTACCTACAGTGTATATACAGATAATTAAAAAAGATACTTTGAAATACGAATATATACATATATTATAATGTTAAAAGCTGAACCAATCAGGCAAATACAAGCCAAGAGTTAACAACACTAGGATCTTGATCACAAAAACTAACAGTCTACCAAACGTATGAAAACGTGTATCATAATAGATTATAAGAGCAATATCATGTCCCCTTTGATCATGGAACTCAACATCAGATAATTTGTCATCTTGATAGTCTGATACCTGTCCCCGTGAAATAAAAATGCCACCAAAACTTACTGAATTCCTTGATACCAAGATATATTATACCAGTATCATTTTCACCAGGCTCTTCCCATGGGATTAACACAGTGTATCTCATATTTTCCATCTCTTCTTCAGCAACTCCCGAGTTGTATTCCACATCCATGGGTAGGACGTACACCTTATCATTATCGGTTTCAGATGGATAGTCGTTCTTCTTGATGAATAGTTCCAGAGAAACGTTAGGGTTCACTGGTTTCACAACCACCTGCAGAGCCTTTGCTTTCGTCTCGTTAAGTAGCAGAGTATGGTAGTACATCGTCTTATCCTTGGGCAATACTGGATATATTAGCGTAGCTTCTGTTTTGATATGACTTACATCGACATCTATAATGATGGGTGCAGAAAGATTATTTACTGGTATCTCATGACCATCCACATCATACAGGTTCATAGTTAATATCGGGGTATTGACAGAGGAGGAACTGGAGTCCCAGATGAAAGGATTTAGCTTAGATATTGTTAGCTGAAAGGTAAAATAACGCGTACATACAGGCTGTGAACAGAATGGCAATGGCAATGTCTCATGGATAGCCTTAACTTAAAAGATACAGCTTAACCATTGGACATTGGTCTGCCTTTTGGAATTTCATTTTTGGTTAAGTAATATGGAGTATAGATCTATTAGAGTATAAAAATATCAGATTATTCCACTTTTGTATTATTGTATGGTCTCGCCTGTACCAAGCAAACCATATCCCCATAATTAGTTATTGTTATTTACCAAGCCAGTGATATTCATATAACTCTTATGTATAAATACTAACCTTTGTATCAATGAAGGAACTGGAAGAGTTATCCAAGATGAGGTCCACAGTTGGTAGTTTAAACGAACCTTCACTGGATGATAAAATAGTGTTGTTTAGGTCTGATGCTTCACGACGATCAGCAACAATAGTAAACATCTGGTTCTGGAGTACCAATGGTGGTGCACCTGGGGTTCTCTTCTGAAGAACTGTCTTGACCACCTCGTCAGCTAATTCCAGAGCTTTTCGGGTTATTTGTCTTGCCTGGAAACAGATGAATAAAAATACTAAACAGATCATGGCAGCACCGTTAGCAGTATCAAATAGCTATAATCTGGATAAATTTGAGACTTAAGTTGAAAAATTGGATTAGCTGTAAGTGTCTCCTCAGCATATATACAAATATGAAGTCAAAATCATCTTATTATACAGACCACGACAGCACTATCAATAGTAACTTAAATCTGGGCAAATTTTTTGTGAATTCACTCAGGTTGGATAGCACTAGCTAAAAGCTCTATTGAACTTCCTGTGTGAAACTTATTTTGAAGATATTGTATCAATATTCAGAATGGCTTACTATTTCTTTAGCTTTAACCGCCTCTTCGGAGTCATCAGATGGCAAGTTTAAAGGAGCATCAGTAACTTTGTCCGGGTTCACAGTGGTTGATACTATGTTATTAGATCTATCAGTATAGTCACCTTCTGTTATACCACTGGCTACATTGGTCACTGATAGGATTACATTACCTAGACTGGCGATTATATCTACAATATATGATTCAAATAATACTACCATTACACAAGTTCTACTCTTTAACCAAAACAGTAGGATGTCCCAGTAAAGAACAAGTAACAGAATTGGATGCTATAACACCAATCGAAAAGAGAGAGCATGCACGAACAATTGCGCAACTGTGAACAGCTAATTCAAGAGCCTTTATATCAAGTGTGTTGGACAATTGTAGCATAAGGTATCCGATCAGCTGACTGATTGGATGATTTTGGTTAATACAATTCAATGTATCTTACCTTCAGCTGCCATTAGTTCTTGCTGTACTGAGTGACCTCTATCTTCATTGACAATAGATTCAAAAGTTGATGCCATATTATCCATAGCTGATAACGTAATTTCCTGAAACGATTCATTGCTTCAATATTTTCGGAGATCCTTTATTTCTCTCTTATCCTTTATAACCCTCTAAGTAAAATGTATACATTTGTAATCACACAACTTCACGCTAAAAGACGGTATGGATCTTACATACCTAAAAGATTATCCCGATCCTGAAATTTTAGAATCTTGACCATATTAGAAAGGCTTACCTGGCATTCGTCTGACAGTTCATTGGTCTCCCTTGTGATAACTTTATAAGCTAGAGCAGTTTGTTGTAGCGAATCCAATGTTAGAGCTTCTGTATTGGATAAGGTTTTGACCAAATCTGTTCTTAGCTGAAAGATATGATAATATTGAATTCATCTCTAGCTCAACACAAAATCCGTCATCATCAGCTGTTAAAATGATGAGGTATCTATTCAAAACAATAACTTCACAAGATTAATACAGATCCTATGAAATTCACAAGGTCAAAAGGAAATGGTGTTTTCGTCCTCCTTTTCCGTGGCTGATTGAGCTAATAAAGTATTAACCACTCTTCTTCGATTTAAAATTGTCAAGGTTTAACGTCCACACGGGACTTATCCGGCTCTTTCCTGTCATGATCTCACCTCTACACGCTGTTTTCTCTCCGCTTCGACTTTCTCTTTTTCTTCCTCAGTCATCTCAGTAGTTTTATAAGGCTCCGTTGTGGCAGCGTAGGTACTAGGTTCCTTAGGAGTTGTTTGGGTATCTATTGGAGCAGATGGAGTTCCTGTTCCTGATTCTGTACCAGGATGTGCTGTTGTTGTAGCCACCGTGCTACTTATTCCAGCAAGCTGTAAGTAAAGTTAAATATAAAATCAATTCCAGTGCATAGTTGTTCCGGAATAATTTCAATTCAATGAAGATATTTCATGGAGGAAGCACATACCAATAAAACACATTTAAGAAAAGACACTACGTTAAAAAAAAAAGGTACGTGAAACCTATACCCAAATTTGTCCATAGGCAGGTTACATATGGTTATTCTGCTGCCCAATTACAATGAATATATAAGTACCTTGGCAGAAGGGTCATTAAGTAATGAAGCGACTGCTACAATGAGTTGTTTAGCTTCCTGTTCTCTTCCAGATGAAAACAAGTTCCCCAACTTGCTGGACTCTCCGTTGGTTAAATTCTTATAGGTTGATGCTTGGTTTGCTATTGGTGGTACTAAAACCTAGGAGAAGACAAAGAAAGAAGCCAATATAAAATAAAAGATTGTCCACATAAAAGGTGTGGTTCCGTGGCTATTAAATGTAGGTTATATTATTATGAAAGTCGTGTGTTACAGGCGTTGCAAGTAGGAGACATTCCATCCGTTGCCGTCATCATAATGAGACATTACACTAAGTCATTATCAAAGACATCGTAAGTTATTGTTGTCAAATCCAAAATGGAACAGAAAAATACATCTTATTTGTATGATTGATAATACGTTTACTTACCTGTACAACTAGCTTAGTCTCAACATATTCACCAATAGGATTTGCAATTCTCACACTCAGATCAAACATATAATTCTCATCTATGTTACCCAATGGGAACTGAGATTCCGGTGTGTAGGTATCAGTCCCATAATAAAGTAACTGAGAATCGTCCACAGAGGTTGACCAGAATCTATAGAGTAAACCATCACCAGCAGCGTTTTCTTCTCCGGGATTCAACCATCCTTTACATTGTATCACAAATTTAGTCTTCAGGGCATAACCTATAATGGATTGAAGATACAAAGTTAATTGAACCAAATTCACCAGATGCGGATCCGGATACCATGCGGAAACTTTTACTTCGTCTGTTTTCTATTGTATCGAAAGCCACGCCGCAAACCGTACCTACACATGTTGTGGACCTGGGACCCTTTACAGGGTCTGCAGAATTGTCTTGGGCATATTCGTAAATAAAACTACGTGGTCTTACCAACGCTAGGTTCTATAAAACACGTTCCTCCATATGGTGGTAAATTCGTAACGAATTCATGTTCAGTTAAACTTCTTGCGTAACCAAAGACCTTTGCTTCCAGACGCAGTTTATAAAGTTCACCACCAATTAAAACTTTCGGTTTGAAGGAAATACCAGCTGAATATAGTTCTGTTGAAGAAAATATAAAAAAAATTGAAAAATATAGAGTTATATTTTGTGAATAATTATTCTATGATTTTTTTTGTTTTGTAATTATTTCTAGCAAGAACAATTGAAGGAAATGAAACTAACGTGTACCTCCATGGTTATTCATGGAAATTTTTCTTTAATCCATAGAACGTAATTTTTATACTTCTGACCAGCATCACCAATTAAAAGTATCTCAACCTACATGCCGAGGTCCAATCCTAACAGTAAACTGTCGAGAAACTCCTGGCCACATATTCTGGAAACGATCTTAGCGCTAGGATAAAATAGAATCTATGATAGAAGATAACAACCTAGGGCATCCTAGCGCTAAGATCGTTTCGAGAATAAGTGGCCTGGACTTCTGGTGAACTTTACCTGTCATATTTGCCAGTTACATCCGATTTTGATTTTTGATTAACTGTAAGTACTCGTATATTATTACTACTATTATTACTACATATCAAATATAAACTATACCTGTATCAATAAGGTCATCAAGATTGTCAACTGGAATCCATTTACTAAAGGTTGAATTGAAGATGAACAAAGACCATTGATAGTCAATTTTATCCAAAGGTCTACAGGAAGTGCACTGACTGACAATGCTGAATTCACCGGAGGGGTTCATCTTAGATTTACAATTCACAAGACACCTGTAACATACATCACATCACAGTAGTGGCATATGAACATACAAGAGAATAGAAACCGTCAATCCTCGCTGAAATTCATAAGTCAACAGACTGTTATAAATTAAAAAAATATCTCTATTAAGCACGAAAATATATAGCGTATGACTTTTACTCTTGTTTGCTGGAAGTAGCGGAGTAGCAACTATGATGTTTAATAAAGATTATATAGGCAACAACACTTACGTTAAAACGAATTCTCTAGGATCACCTTCCACAATAATCACAGTTTGCTCAAAAAAGGATAATCTCTCATCTCTCGATACTTGCAGGTGGAAAAGGTTCTCGGAATGCAGCATCAGAAGCCTTGAATCTAATTGCAGTACTGGATCCGTGGTGTTCAGTAAACCGATACCAGTCCCGAAACATCCTCCACCACTTAGTGTTTCGTTGGACTCGGGATCCGGAATTTCTATATACTCTAATGTTGAAGGGAAAGTCTCATTGTGCTTTCTACAACTCCAAGTAAACGTCAAGCTGCTTTTATTGTTCTGATCACTTGAGTCTGGGTCGAACGTTTCAGTTAAGCCGTCCATTGAAAACATGTTGTCATAACCTATAGCTCGAGCACTACCTCCATATATCTTAGCTACTATTTGCGTCTGATGTATGCGTAGGTATGTAAAATGGACAGCGAACAGTCCTGGGATGCCTTTCATTGATACATTTAAACTGATTTTGTAATCTCCAACGGAAAAGGCTCTCTGAGGAAACATCAGTTTAAAGAGACCGACATGTTGGATTTCTGGAGTGTAATCCGTAAGAATGAAATCTAAGAAAGATACCCCTTGTTCAAGTCTCTCAATGATCCATTTGTACTCCGCTTCTTCGGTTACTTGGCAAGAAATGTCCACATTACTCTCCAATGATATCCAGTCGGATCTCTCCCGTTCTACTGGCTTATCAATCTGCTGACCCCCACCAATGATGTGAACTTTTGGATAACTGCATCCAACTCCTGTGATCACCGCAAAATTTTGTATTGTTCCCTCAGATACTACATTAAGGCCTTCAACAGTCACAGTGAACGTCTCGTTTGCTTTAAACGAATATTTATGAATTAGTTCTTTTTGTGGTGTCCATGAAATGTGTCTGAACTGACCCAAATCTCTTCGTTCCTTGCAGTTATCTCCACCATAGACAATTGGAAGAGTGTTGTCCCCCATGTCCCAAACATAGCATGGATCAGTTCCGGCTCTTCCTAGGTTCAATGTAAAGGACAAGTCTTTATAGGTTTCAGTAGGTCCGTTATTGGTTAACGTGTTGATAAGAACCGTTTCTTGCAAGATCACGTCCGTCTGAATATAATCGTAAAACAAAGCATTGCTTGCGTTAATAGTAACCTTGTATCGCCCGGGATGTAGGTACTGGTGATCTGTCACGTTATCCTGGCTGGTAAAGATTGTCCCATCTCCGAAATCCAAAATATAGGTGACCTCATTTCCAGAATCAAGACCAGTTTTGAATCGCGTTTTCCTTTCAAGAGGATAGTATGTCTTTAAATCACCATGACCAGGTCGAAAGCTGTCAGAGTTGTCCGTATTTTTGTACGTTGGTGTAACAGTCAATCCAAACACATCCTCCAGGATGGACATCTGAAGATAAGCGGTGCGGCTGGAAACATGATTAGATGCCTCAAACCGAACATCGTATATGCCAGGTGTGTTATAAGCATGACGGACTACTAATGTTTCATTTTCCGTTATCATATTGAAGAATGAACCAGAACGGTTCTTACCGTCTCCAAAATCATAGCTGTAGGATATGTGACTTCCAAATTCCACTCCAAAAGAGAAATAGATAGTGGTGCCAAGAGCCATGTTCTGTGCTTCGGCTGCGACTGTTGCCCCTTCGATGATAGCTTGAAGAACTATTTCAGTTGAGAGTTCCTGGAAACCTAATATGTTGGAGCAATTAACCACGATGTCTATACGTCCCAAATCGGACTTCTTGTTCCATACGGGTTTGATATTCAAGGTTTTGTCAGTGTCAATCACATTAGTGTACGTATCGCTGACAAAGTTACCACCAACGAACGTAGCGCAAGTTATATAATTAGGTGGCTTTGACGCTCCGGTATAGCCGATAGTTATATCGATGTTACCTGGTGGAAGGGCAACTGGAGTATCTGCAGCTATAGTCAAATCCCTCACATCATACAGAATTATAATGGGATAATCTAGAGTTATCTTTTCATAGCTAATTAGATTTAAAGCACCAACAGTCACTGTGAAGTTACCAGTTTCAAAATATTGGATGGGAACGTTCAGATTTGTTAACCCTTTCTTGTTGTTGTTCATAGTGTACGTAAAGTTTCTGTTATCTCCAAGGTCCAGAGTGTATAGAACATTGGAGCCTTTCAGTGTCTGGATGTTTACATTCATACGGTCTTCTGGCCTCATATACGTTTTGCTTGTGGATATAGATAAATCTTGTATGCTTTCTTGCACCACGATGTTCTCTGTTGCATCCATGTAGCTCACATGATTTGAACAGTTCACTACAATTGAATACTGCCCCAAATCATAACTGTAGGAGACTATTTTAGGTTCGACATCAGAAAGACTTGCAATGCTCACAGTTGACTTAGTCGCATCTCCAAAGTCATAAAGACATACTAAATTGGAAAGCAAGAATCCGTTTTCTTCTATATTTAGACTTATAGTGACATTGTTTCCGGGACCATCCTCTTGAAGAAGGTCATGACGAACCTTTAGTGATCTTATCTGGTCCTCGATAATCAGATTGATCGATTGGGATTTAGAATTTTCTGAATTTTGAGCAGTAAACGATATGGTATATTCACCAGCGTTTTGGTACGTGTGCTCTATGGTGTATGGAGCTAGGAAGGACAGGGTCTCCGGATCTGTATAAGTAGCTAATGTGCTTCCATCTCCATAATTCACCATATACTCCACATGTGATCCACGGCTGAGCGTTATTCTGAATTTAACTGATTCACCTACTTGATAGTATATTTTGTGAGTAAATATCGATAAACCATCAATGGGATCTTTGTTATTGTCGTCGATTACTGAAATATATTTGGTACAGTGAATATGCTTTATAGTAACTATATATATATACATATTTCAATATCTAAAGCATACCCCAAACTGCAAAGAGAAGTATATTATGTGTATTCATAAAAAACGCAGCAATGGCTAAGTCCTTAGTCCAACATATTAAATCGACCACGAGTATTGTGTAAAATTAACATATCCTCGGTTTTCAATGGTTTTTGCTGCTTAATGGTATATTAATGACAGGAAGAAAAGAACAAGGCGTCAATAGAAGTTTTGCCTCGACCTACCAAGACAGATGCGACCTGGTCTAGATGGATTTGGTGAATGATCTATGAAACCAGCATTACAAGTACAGTTGTAAGATCCAATGGTATTGGTACACGTTGAGTCTTCAGAACAATCATTCCAATCTGATGAACTACATTCGTCAATATCTATAAGAAGAAAAACAGTCTTATCTCAAAGGAAACACGCTCAAATCACATTCTGTTATAACATTTCGGTTGAGAACTATATCTGACCAACTCTAGAAATTGCCTGGTTGAAATCCAAATGCCTACCTGTGGGCCTTTCCAAATTCGGAGCATGTAGTAATTATATAAGGCCGAGGCTATTCGTAATGCGACAGTACAAGAATGGGCATTAAAAAATATGGCCATCCCTACCTAACCCTAAAAAGGTCACTTAATATCATTCTTGAAAATCAAAATGGTAAATAAAACCTCAAAAATTAGCTCGCCTATTGTCTCCTATCTTATCAATACCGTTGTGCCGGTGCGATTATTTAAAGCCATGCTGGTTTTATTGATTTTACTCTTTGCTGACCAGGGATGTAGACTTACCATTTACGAACATTGCTGAAGGTTCAAATACCAATCCAGTGGTGTTATAGTAGTCTAAACCACTCAAAAGAGATCCCGTAAGGCTGGTAGCATCCCCAATATAACCACCGTTCATATACAGATAACCATTAGCAACTAAGCTGCCAGAAGAGATACCAGACACCTTGTATCCAAGGAAATGCGATCCCACAGTACTGTCTAACCAGGTTGTTAACTAAAGAGATCGCAACAGAATTGCATTTTTACAACAAATAATTGCTTGGTCCCAGCAGTCTAATTAAAATTAGACTCAACTTTCGTTTCTTTTTTTTATATTAGTTTTTATTTTTAGTATAGCCACTTCACAGAAGGCAAAGGTAATTTGCAATGGTGATCGTAAATTTTTGTGAAAGTTTTATACCAAATTAATCATTCTTAAAATCATTGGTTTACTTAGAGATAACAAAGAGTAAATTTATAATTAATCAAAAGAACAATATCGGGTGTATAGATTAACTTACAGCTGTATCAACATTTGTAATAAATTCTTGTGATTCCGTGGACTCCATTGAATCATATACAGCAGTATATACCAGTGCTTCGCCATTCATCTCTAGAACTCTTAGTGACGAGTTGTATACCAGCGATTCTGAAGGTATATAAGACAATCTTGGGGTATGTCAACTGGATTATGTGCCGATTACGCAAAACTATGGCTTAACTATGATACTATGAATATTCTGATTGCTTTTGCAATAGTATCAACAACCCTCAACCAATCCGATAGCAAGACACTATTTAGACATTATTACTATTACAGCAAGTTACAACATTTCTCACAGCACACCCCTGGTCACGTTTCTGTTCAAGGAAGTGCAACGCTTTCAGAAAAACCCACTATATAGCCAATTACCTTGACAAACCATAGAGCTAGCTTTATAGAATCCATTATAACAATTACATTGAAATGTTCCTGGTAAATTTTGACAAATTGAATTCTGTGAACAAGGATCATTAAAACACTCGTTATTATCTGTAAAAGTAAAAATTAATGTTCGCGTCACATGGAGAAAAGAAGTAACAATTTAACAGGGAATCATTAGGTGCCTCGCAGGTGCAATATGCTGGGGGAATTACCAAAATGCCATGGGCAATGGAAGTGATCAATATCGATCCACATGTCTATTAGTGCAACTTTGGTATGAGAAGATATATATTTATAGGTCTTTTAGAAACCATTTTGTACGGTCCATACATTAAGTGAAGCGTAGAGAAACATCTAACCTTCACACCCGGAGATTTTTTGACTATATCCTGCTTGACAAGGACACGAATAACTACCAACAGTGTTGATACAATCTGTATTGTTAGGACAGTTGGTTTCGGCATTAACACATTCGTCAGTATCTGGAAAAAGATAAATTTGAAGTAATGAATGCCTTCGACAAAAATTCACGAGTTGGTAAAGACCCAACCATGTGCTAACAGTGACAGCTGCGTAATATTATATCTGCGCTGTCGACACATCGTGATTTGGATGCAAAACCATGTTAACAAGAAAGTACTTGATGAGTGATAATAATGAACTTCTTTTCGGAAAACACGGGACAATTTTGTAACAGTACTTACCAGTACAACTACCACTTATATCAGAGAAACCAGTATCACATGGACAAGTATAGGAACCATCAGAGTTGATACAATGAGAATTGCTCGGACATGGATTCTGTCGACATTCATCAATATCTAAAACATTTAAATAAATTACTATTACTTCAACTTGAAATATATAGCTATATGAACCCAATCTCACTGTTTCAGCAGGTGTTCCGGCAGAAAAATCAATGATTGTTTGATAAATCAATTGTCAAATTTGTGTTGGTGAATCTTGGAAACATTACAGAAATTCCAGCAGACATATTGTAAAATTTCATTCGGACGTATTTGTATCATCCATCACAGTCTATAAACTGCAAGCAAGTAATTGAACAAGATGAAGGTTGCAAATCAAACTGCTTTATTGAAATGATTGAAAATACCTACCAATACAAACACCACCATGTGCTTTATATCCATTATCACATGGACATTCGTAACTACCCACAGTGTTAAAACATGCAGCATGAGAGATACAGGGCGAATCAAGACATTCGTCTACATCTGAAAAAGACTCGTACAATCACTAATATAGCTTGCCTCGGCTATCATTTAGCTAGAGATACCGGTTAAGAGGGATCTCCTGTATAACTTATTGAGGAATTTGGTTGAGAACATAAGGAACTTGGTTGAGAACAAAAGGAACTTGGTTGGGAACATAAGTGATGTACCTCTTTGGGTACAATGCTCTGGACAAAGATACGTACAATGGATAAAGATGCTTACCGACGCAGACACCATTCTGATCCTGGAAACCGATATCACAAGTACAGACGAAGCTACCCTGAGTATTCAGACATGTTGATCTTTGTTGGCATGTGTCACTATTACATTCATTTATATCTGAAATCGTGCAAAATGGAATGAAATTAAGAATAAAAACATCTTAAGTATATATTACAATCCGAACCTGCAATCCGAATCTAAAGTAAGAGTTTGGGAATACATTGATTGCAGCTCATGGACTTTACATATAAATGAGGAAGTACATGTAGATCTGAACTGAAACAATAAAACCAGTTTAAAATTGAATGAAACTGAGACTTGTGTCCTTCTTTTCTGCAATTTCTTGGATTTATAAAAGCATGTTAACCTTTGCTACTCGTGGTTTGAATTAAACGAATTAATCAGATCTGACCACTTAAAATAACACAGTACCACACTAACCTTCGCAGAGACCATTGTTCTTCTCATAACCATCTGTACAGTTACAATAATAACTGCCTATAGTGTTATCACATATAGAATGTGCTGGACATTTATCTTCTAAACATTCGTCAGTATCTACAAAAAAAGAGATTCGTGGTTCAATGAATGGATGTAGAACAAGCCTGAACACTGAAATTGGCACGATTCTACAAATAGATTTTTTGAATAAGGAGAGCAAGTTAAAAAACCAAAGTGTCTGCTAATGTTTGTGACTTAATTCTTTTTTGAACTGAACCAAAATGATAATGACAACGAGCATCAAAATTGCAATTCAGGCACAATGGCGAATACTACAACGAAGGGTTCATTGTAATAATTAATTAAGAGCGATATACACCACTGTAGCAATCGTAATTCCCAAGTATTTTGCGGATTCCACAGTTCCATTATAATAAGATTTGAAGATTACAATCATGTCTGTTCCTTACCTACACAATTTTTATTGTCTTCCCTGAAACCGAAGTTACAGGAACAGAAAAAACCTCCAGCTGAGTTGGAACATTCTGAATATTCAGGACAAGGGTCTCCCGTGCATTCATCAACATCTGAAACATAATTTATACAGTAGCCCCTACCACAGGGAATGGGTGAACCAGGTCCACGGGCCCCAACCCTGAGGGGATCCCCACCCCCAGAAAAAAATCACAATTTTAAAGAAATTGTTCCAAAATGATTATCTTGAATGTTTGCACACAATATAAAGTGGTAATAACTTATGATGGAGCTACTAAGAGCTACAGGGGGGTCTCAGAAAGCAGGATAGCGTATTTCTCGCGGAAGGGTCCCACCCCTCATAAGTCCACAGGTGCCGTGTCATATAGTTGAGTCACTGAATGTACCAGACAATACGGATTGGCCCTTAAAATTCCCAAAGTTAAAAGAAAGACATTTTATCAGTAATGATGTACTTAAGCTGTTCGCCTTACTGCTTGAGCAATATTGGAAATTATCCCTGCAGCTGGTATTATCTTACCTTTACAAATGGTGCCGTCTTTAACAAAACCCGCATCACAGTTACATTCATAGGAACCGTCAGTATTAGAACATTCGGAATGAATTGGGCAGGGTTCTTGTGAACATTCGTTAATGTCTGAAAAATACATAAAATGTCTCCACTGCAGAATCTATAGATCTCGAGAAGTTGGAATGAATATACACTAAAAGCTGCTATTTGTGTAGATAACGTTGATTTGGAGTTGTGATTGACTTGGGACAACGATCTCATTGGAGTACAGACTTCGACTAGGATCATCCATTGAAGAAGCTGATGATGATTCTTAGTTATCTTATCTATCAAAGCTAGCGAGGCTGGTGAATATTTCATGTAGTTTCTATCCTACACCTCATAAATTTAATGAGAGTTTACTTTTAGAATTTGTATCAAACAACCATACTCGTATATATTTACAGTCATATTTTGCGGAATTTAGGAACACACACGTCTAGAAGAACAATCATATCGTTACCTGAACAAACATCATTAATTTGAGTATAACCCACGTCACAGAGACATTGAAAACTACCATACGTATTCTTGCAATGGCTGTTACTTCCACATGGCGATGATACACATTCGTCAATATCTGAAATCAGCGATGATACGGCTTCGATATTTGCATGGAAAGGGTTTTTGAACAGCTTCAGTAATATCAGATGACACAATACATAACGTTTAGAATTTAAGGGCCATCATGAATATATGGCTTATTGATTTGGAAGCAGAATTGAATTGTACCATATTGGCTAATTGGACTCGTGACAAGACAATGACTTCAAGCTCCATGCTAAACTAAGAATTATTGTAAATTTTGAAACTTACCGCCACAGCTAGAAAAGTTAGCCCTGAAACCTTCATTACACATACAGAAGTAGGAACCACCTGTACTGTTACATGTTGAATGAACTGGGCACGGGTCGTTGTAGCATTCGTCGTCTATTTCTAGAAAATAATGTTGAAAGCTAACAATGATTTTAAAATGCTAGCAGTATTATAGGAGACATATGACGTGGCCGTTAATGAAAAGTAGAAGTTATTGTGCTTAAACTGCGTGGATATAAAACATTTCATAAGATAATCTGAAACTTACCCATAGCCAATGTACTACTCATTTGAACAGAACTGGACACTAGAATACTGGAAAAGAAATCTGGCACAGTACTTGAACTCCACAAGGAACTGTCCATTAACTGACTGCTTACAGCTGAAACACTCGCACTGACCGACAAAACACCAGTGGATGAAATTTCAGTCTGTGCTGATACTCCCTCGTTGCCCAGTTCCGAAGTTGCTTCAACAGAGCTTACTGGTGATGGGCTTATAGTGGAAGCTTCTTCAGTGAACAACTGGGTGTGTGATTCCTCGACAGAATTGCTAGCACCAGGACTTTGCACAACATGTGTTGCTGATTGACTAGAGAGAGTGGTGGATATATCGTTTTGGACTGATGTTTCCGTTGACATTTCATCTGAAGGATTAATCACCGATGTACTGTGAGCGCTTTCCAGAACGCCAGTCTGCAAATGACTTGATAGAATGGTTGTTAATTCTTCATGGACTGCAGTTTCTGTATTCTATGGGAGAACTAAACGGCCTACTGCTCATGCTTTGCTGTGTGATTGTTTCAGGATGACTGGTCAAATCTAATGATAATTCTTCACGGACTGTTGTTACTGCATGCATCACATTGGAAGAACCAACCGATAAACTGCTGATGCTCTCAGGAAGTAGTGACTCCCCTATACTAGACGATACCGTTGCCCCTTCATCTTGAACCGCTGTCTCTGTTGGCATTTCATTTGACATACTGCCCATGCTCTCCAAAACTAGTGACTCAACAATACTAGAAGAAACCGACACTTCTTCAAAATATGTTGATATTGCATCTGGCATAGTGCCTATGCTCACCAACACAGATGTCTCTAAACCATTCGAGGATGATTGTTCTTTATGAACAACCGACGTATCTGTGGTTAGCATATTACTTACGGACATGGATTTAAGAACCAAATCGGTTGCTAATGCCGTTGACAAGTCATCTTGAACCGAGGTTTCTGTAGACAACACATCTACTGACCTGTGAAAACTCTCCAAGGCGGTTGTTTCTAAATCACTGGATAGAATCGTTGATGATACTCGTTCGTCTGAAGATATCGAGGACAGCACATTCGAGGAACTGATGGATATTCCTGAAATACTCCCTGTGCTGGATAATTGTAAACTTTCGATCATCACCGAAGTGGTTGCATCCGAAATGGTGTTCTCCAAGGCAGATAATTGAGTAGACGCCACTGTGTTGTCTTCAACGAAAACAGATGTTACCGTATTTTCTTCAACAATAGCAGACGATGTAGCCCCCTCAAGACTTAATATTCCACTGGATTCCATTTCGGATGACAATAGCGATAAAGTGTTCGATATGGCTTCTTTGAGTGAGGTCATCTCTGCAACTGTAGATGTATAATCATCTGGAAAAGTGGAGGTTTGGAGAGCTACTGACTCAACGATTGAGGGTTCTACAGCAGTGGATGAAGTTACATCAATAGTGCTTTTAACACCTTCTCGTACTGAGGAATTTACATCAGTTATTGATGATGTAGACATAACTTGTGAGCTGATTTCTGTGAAACCATTTGAACTCGGCTCTGTATCGTGAATTGGCGAAGATGAGATCATATGTACACTAGTTGATACTCCAATTTGATTCTCTGCTGGCTCTTCTGAAAGTTAATGATAATAATCGTTATGATCATAAAGATGATAACTGTTCCTTTTGCTGTTATTTCTTCTGCTACTGCTGCTGCTGCTGCTACTGCTGCTGCTGCTACTGCTGCTGCTGCTGCTGCTGTTACTGCTGCTGCTGCTGCTGCTACTGTTACTGCTGCTGCTGCTGCTGCTACTGCCGCTGCTGCTGCTGCTGCTGCTGCTGCTACTGTTACTGCTGCTGCTGCTGCTGCTGTAGCTGCTGCTGCTGCTGCTGCTGATGATGATGATGATGATGATGATGACAAGGAGGAGTTGGTTTAGTATGGGCATGATGGCGATGACGAGGATGATGATGATTATATTGATGATGAGGAGAATGAGGATACTGATGGTGATGATAAATGATGATGCCGATGCTAGCGAGGATGACGATGATAATGATGCTGATGACAAAAGACGGGGAGAAAAAAAACAAATAATCTGAGTCTTACCTGACTGTGGTGGTGGAACCTGATGAGATGTTTGTTGTGCTAGTAATACTGTTGAAGTTTCATTATATGGTTGACCAAATTCTGCAATAGAAATGTAACTGTTGGATGTAGGATTTATTGAAGGAAGCATAGCACAGTGCGGTATTTAAAACACTGGCCCTTTTCAATGTGTTTACTTGGCTACGCTAGTAATTGGGCATTTAAACTAGCTGCCAAAGCAATGGCTTTTTTTAAACATTACTTAGGGTTTAAATGTTGTTTTGTGACTTACCAGTGTAAGTTTCAATGATCACAAACTCTGGCGCAGACAGTTCTGAATATCCATTATTAAACTCATCTGCCACGTGTTCTATTGGTATTTGTAGGTCCACAAAATTCACATTAAACTCAACAATTATACTACCCTGCCTATAATTGAAAGGTATCTGATAAGGTATGATACGTTGGTTTGATAAGGTATCTGATATATTTTCATTTCATCTCTCGTATTTCTAATCTGAAATCTGCAGGAGGAAAATCCATCCTCCTCTTAAGAACTTTGGTTGAATGACAATGACATGTATTTGCTTATAAGAATTATTATCATAAGGTAATTCCTGAATACCAAAGATTATTGCCTACCTGAAACCTGTTATTTCAATATCATCTATTGTCAATCCAGTATTAGCAAGTACTTTCATTAACTAGAAAATAAACTAGAGATAAAAACAAGCAATCTCTCATGACATAGAAACATATAATTATTTAATTGGGACATAATTCGAAGCCGAGGTTGACTCGTTATCTACCAACCGACCAAGGGACACGCTGACAAAGATCAGTTTCCTGCAGACTCTACAGCTTGAACTGGGTTTTATTATTGACTATGTACTATGTTTGATCATTTTACAACGGAGTCAATACCTTGTTCTTACTTTCATTTAGTATGAAACAATACAGGGACCAATAAGTATACAAAAACTTATACTCACGAATGTCAAAAACTGTTCTTCCATGTCTTTATATTCTTGAGAAGCGGGATTCGATAGACTAGGATCCCAATCTGACTGAACCTTCACAGTACCAGAATACGTCCCGGCTGGTCTCACTGTTGTTGGCGATACTTGCTCCAACGTGGTTGCCTCAGTGGTGGTGGTGGTTGTAGTGGGTGGTAGAGTTGATGGTGTCGAGGAAGAAGATGTTACTATTGACGTCAATTGAATCACAGCAGATGATAACTGCATCTCTGGCATTGATGTGGATGCGACCAAACTACTCGTGTATGATGAGGTTGTAACACTGGGAACTACTGATGTCGCTTCCGGATATTGGGACGATTCTAGCAGAACATCTTCTGTAGAGACGAACTGATCTCGAATAGAAGTTGATTTCAGAATAGATGTTGTCTCCTCTGGTTCTTGAATATATGTTGTTTCTGCTGATTCCAGAATAGATGTTGTCTCTTCTTGTTCTTGAATAGATGTTGTCTCTGCTGGTTCTAGAATAGATGTCTCTGCTGGCTCTAGAATAGATGTTGTCTCTGCTGGTTCTATAATAGATGTTGTCTCTTCTTGTTCTTGAATAGATGTTGTCTCTGCTGGTTCTAGAATAGATGTTGTCTCTTCTTGTTCTTGAATAGATGTTGTCTCTGCTGGTTCTAGAATAGATGTTGTCTCTGCTGGTTCCAGAATAGATGTGGCTTCAAGCGATTCAAGAATAGACGTTGTCGCTGTCTGTTCTAGAATATTAGTTGTCATTTCTGCTCCTTGGATAGATGTTGTCTCTGTTGGTTCTAGAATAGATGATGTCTTTGCTGATTCTAGAATAGATGTTGCCTCTGCTGGTTCCAGAATAGATGTTGTCTCTCTTTGTTCAAGAATAGATGTTGTCTCTGTTGGTTCAAGAATAGATATGGTCTCTGTTGGTTCTAGAATAGATGTTGTCTCTGCTTGTTCTAGAATAGATGTTGTCTCTGTTGGGTCTAGAATAGATGTTGTCGCTTCCGGTTCTAGAATAGATGTTGTCTCTGCTAGTTCTATAATAGATGTTGTCTCTGCTTGTTCTAGAATAGATATTGTCGCTGCTGGTTCTAGAATAGATGTTGTTTCTGCTTCTGCTGGTTCTAGAATAGATGTTGTCTCTGTTGGTTCTAGAATAGATGTTGTCTCTGTTGGTTCTAAAATGGATGTTGTCTCTCCATAGGCTAGAATAGATGTTGTCGCTGCTGGTTCTAGAATAGATGTTGTCTCTGTTGGTTCCAGAATAGATGTTGCCTTTGCTGGTTCTATAATAGATGTTGTCTCTGTTGGTTCTAGAATAGATGTTGTCTCTGTTGGTTCTAGAATAGATGTTGTCTCTGCTGGTTCTAGAATAGATGTTGTCTCTGTTGGTTCTAGAATAGATGTTGTCTCTGCTGGTTCTAGAATAGATGTTGTCTCTACTGGTTCTAGAATAGATGTTGTCGCTGCTGGTTCTATTATAGATGTTGTCTCAGCTGGTTCTATAATAGATGTTGTCTCTGCCTGTTCTATAATAGATGTTGTCTCTACTTGTCCAAGATAAGATGTTGTTTTTGATGGTTCAAGAATAGATGTTGTCTCTGCTGGTTTTATAACAGATGTTATCTCTGTTGGTTTTAGAATAGATGTTGTCTCTGCTGGTTCTAGAATAGATGTTGTCTCTGCTGGTTCTAGAATAGATGTTGCCTCTGTTGTTTCCAGAATAGATGTTGTCTCTGTTGGTTCTAGAATAGATGTTGTCTCTGCTGGTTCCAGAGTAGATGTTGTCTCTGTCGATTCTAGAATAGATGTTGTCTCTGTCGATTCTAGAATAGATGTTGTCTCTGTCGGTTCTAGAATAGATGTTGTTCCTGTTGTCACTAAATGAGTCGATTCTTGGATGACATCGGTGGTTCCTATTGAACTGTTCTGGTCGTATTGGGATATAGTTGACGACATCAGTTGCTCGGCAAGCTGTGAAAATGTAGCGTTCTTGGCCACCCCAAACTCTGAAATAATGTGATCAATGAATTCAAACAAGGACTTTAAAAAACATCCCGACAACAATTCTGGTCATTGATCTCAGGCGAAATTATTTAAATAATTGAAATAATTCAAAACTAGGCATCAATGCGTACCTGATTCGATTAAGAATGATTAAGAGGTTAAGATTAATTACCTGTATATGATTCCTCAAGAAGAAATTCGGGTGATGCGAGGTCGTCATAACCAGCATTAAACTGAGTAGCTAGATTCTCAATAGGTTCATTATTATCAGCAATTACTACATTGAAATCAACAATAATACTGCCTTGTCTGGAAGAGCATTAAGGGCAATATATCATATCAGAATAAAATAACCTTCATGGGTAAATGAAATGCATATATCAGATTTCTTACTGTATCGTCTACTAAGTCTAATTGTTGGTTAAAAACCTATAGGACTCCTATGTCCCAACCTAATAGCCAATAGATTTACATCCCAACCTGGGGGGTTTTCACCCCCTGGGGTGTTGGACTAGGGTGTCAGGGGTGTGGCCAACTGGTGTAGGAGAAGAATTTATTTTGAGTTGAGAGAGCACCCCACATCATCACATGCTGAAAATGTGGATGAAACAAATTTTTGGGGTGTGAAAGGTCAACGTGGTTGCTTCTGGCATGTGAAGACTGAAATAGGTTGGGAACCACTGCTTTAGGCTGAGCTTTTTTTAAACATCAGTTAGATCTTATATTGTTACCAGGTACGCTTACATTTATTAAGAAAGACAAAATTTGAGTTTCCGTTCTTACCTGAACCCTGTAATTTCAATGTCTTCAATTGTTAAACCAGTCTGCGCCAAAACAGCAGATAACTGAAAAAGATTGAAAGTAACAAGTATCTATTCAACTATAGGCACCGGCACAGGAACAGAACAATAGTGGAACATCAAATAAAAAAATAATTGAATGATCTGATTTCAGGTTCTAAAACGCTTTAAATACTTGTATTACGAAACTGGAAATTCACTTACAAAGCTCTGAAATTCCTCTTCCATCTGCTTAAATTTTGGACTTGTTTTATCCTCTAAATCGGGATCCCATTCAGCCTGTACTTTGACTGTTCCGCTATAAGCTCCACTTGGTTTGACCGTAGTTGAAGGAGCCAGGGTAGTTGGTGTTGTAGATGGTGATGTATCAGTGATATACGTAGTTGTGGAATCAGTCTGAACCGATGTTAGGTCTATAACTGCACTCGAAAGTTGTTCTGGTGACAAGGTTGATGTAACATAAGTACTTGTTGAAGAAAAACTACCTTCGATGGAAGTTGTGAAAAACTCTTCTGATGTACCATCAACCGTGCTGGTCGATTGTGTCGGTATATCGCCATTCACTGATGTTATCTCTGCTGGCTCCAGAATAGATGTTGTCTCAGCTAGTTCTAGAATAGATGTTGTCTCAGCTAGTTCTAGAATAGATGTTGTCTCTGTCGGATCATAGATGTATAAAGATGTTGTCTCTGCTGGTTCTAGAATAGATGTTGCCTCTGCTGAATCTATAATAGACGTTGTCTCTGCTAGTTCTAGAATAGATGTTGTCTCTGTCGGTTCTAGAATAGATGTTGTCTCTGTTGGTTCACGAATAGATGTTGTCTCTACTGAATCTAGAATAGATGTTGTCTCTGCTGGTTCTAGAATAAATGTTGTCTCTGATGGTTCCAGAATAGATGTTGTCTCTACTGGATCCAGAATAGATGTTGTCTCTGTTAGTTTAAGAATAGATGTTGTCTCTGCTGGTTCTAGAATAGATGTTGTCTCTGCTGGTTCCAGAATAAATGTTGTCTCTGCCGGTTCTAGAATAGATGTTGTCTCTGTTGGTTCAGGAATAGATGTTGTGTCTGTTAGTTCAAGAACATATGTTGTCTCTGCTGGTTCCAGAATAGATGTTGTCTCTGTTCGTTCTAAGATAGATGTTGTTTCTGTCGGTTCCAGAATAGATGTTGTCTCTGTGGGATCCAGAATAGATGTTGTTTTTGCTGGTTCTAAAAGAGATGTTGTCTCTGCTGGTGCTAAGATAGATGTTGTCTCTGCTGGTTCTTTAATAGATGTTGTCTCTGCTGGTTCTAAGATAGATGTTGTCTCTTCTGGTTCTAGGATAGATGTTGTCTCTGCTGGTTCTAGGATAGATGTTGTCTCTGCTGGTTCTTTAATAGATGTTGTCTCTGCTGGTTCTAGAATAGATGTTGTCTCTTTTGGTTCTGGAATAGATGTTGTCTCTGCTGGCTCTAGAATAGATGTTTCTCCTTGTTCCAGAATAGATGTTGTTTGGGCTGGTTCCAGAATAGATGTTGTTTTAGCTGGTTCTAGAATTGATGTTGTCTCTGCTGGCTCTAGAATAGATGTTGTCGCTGCTGGTTCCAGATTAGATGTTGTTTCGGCGGGTTCACGAATAGCTGTTGTTTCGGCTGGTTGCAGAATAGATGTTGTTTCAGCTGGTTGCAGAATAGGTGTTGTTTCTGCTGGTTCCAGAGTAGATGTTGTCTGGGCTAGTTCCAGATTAGGTGTTGTTTCGGCTGGTTGAAAAATAGATGTCGTTTCGGATGGTTCAAGAATAGATGTTGTCTCTGTCTTTTCTAGGAGAGATGTTGTCTCTATTGGTTCAAAAATATATGTAGTCTCTGCTGGCTCTAGAGTAGATGTTGTCTCTTCTGGTTCTCGAATAGATGTTGTCTCTGCTGAATCTAGAATAGATGTTGTCTCTACTGGTTCTATAATAGATGTAGTCTCTGCTGGTTCCAGAATAGATGTAGTCTCTGCTGAATCTAGAATAGATGTTGTCTCTGCTGGCTCTAGATTAGATGTTGTCTCTGCTGGTTCTAGAATATATGTTGTCTCTGCTGGTTCTAGAATAGATGTTGTCTCTGCTGGTTCTAGAATAGATGTTGTCACTGCTTGTTCTAGAATAGATGCTGTCTCTGCTGGTTCTAGAATAGATGTTGTCTCTGTTGGTTCTAGAATAGATGTTGTCTCTGCTGGTTCTAGAATAGATGTTGTCTCTTTTGGTTCTGGAATAGATGTTGTCTCTGCTGGCTCTAGAATAGATGATGTCTCTGCTGGTTCTAGAATAGATGTTATCTCTTTTGGATCTGGAATAGATGTTGTCTCTGCTGGCTCTAGAATAGATGTTGTCTCTGCTGGTTCTAGAATAGATGTTGTCTCTTTTGGTTCTGGAATAGATGTTGTCTCTGCTGGTTCTAAAATAGATGTTGTCTCTTTTGGTTCTAGAATAGATGTTGTCTCTTTTGGTTCTAGAATAGATGTTGTCTCTGCTGGCTCTAGAATAGATGTTGTCTCTGCTGGCTCTAGAATAGATGTTGTCTCTGCAGGCTCTAGAATAGATGTTGTCTCTGCTGGTTCTAGAATAGATGTCTCTGCTGGCTCTAGAATAGATGTTGTCTCTGTTGGTTCTAGAATAGATGTTGTCTCTGTTGGTTCAAGAATAGATGTGGTCTCTGCTGGTTCTATAGAAGATGTTGTCTCTGTTGGTTCAAGAATAGATGTAGTTTCTGCTTGTACTATAATAGAGGTTTTCCCTACTGGTTCTGTCAGTGATGTAGTTTGGATTGCATCAATACTTGAAATAGAGCTTGTTTCAGGATATTGAACAGAACTTGTCTCTGATGACTGTAAAGCTGATGTGTAAGCTATATCTAGCATGGAGCTTAATACTGTCGTGTACTCAATCACCTCACTGTCAGACGTTTTAGACGAAGTGACTTCATCAGTAACATAGGGAGTTGACGCTGTTGGCTGTAGAAGAGTAGAAAGCAAAGACTGCCAGGTTTGGGTGGTTGTAGAATAATCAACGGTTGTTGTCACTTCCTCGTTCATTACCACTTCTACAAAATACAGAAAAAATGATTTGTGTTGTTTTAATGGTTTTCCTTACTCTTGTGGATTAAGTAAATCTCTTTATATATTGTATAACAAATTCATTCGTTGAAACCGGTTAAATAAAAGTTATCTATCGCATCCAGAACCATTTTTATTCTATTTATACATAAGGTCTAACCTCCATAACCAGTGCATTTGCTGTATCAAATACCAAAGACAATTGATATAAACTTTCTGTTCTAGATTTTCGGCTAGCATTTACTTTGTAGAAAACTCAAAAGGCTATAAATACCAAGAGGCATGATACCATCAGATGTTCTGTTCAGGTGCAGATTCTGTTGTACTTTCTGATTTAAAAGGTTTTGGAGAGGATCAGTAAGGTGTGCACAGTGACGAGTGGTAATGGTGAGGTAGTGTTTGGATTGAGAGAGAAACAACAAATGGTTAAATATAAGACACATTTATTCACTATACAACCAATACACAGATATAAGATATATTGGAGATTAATATACAATTATATACAAAAGAACCAGGGGTATGTTGGGTTCAGATTTGAGGGTAGTAAATAGAATAAACTTACTTTGCTCAAAAGTCCAAGACCAAAAATTGAATTATTATTAGTTCCTGATGTTCTGGACACGTATGTGCATTTTCATTCAGAACCCTTATCAAAGGCATAAAATCACCTTTTGCGAAAATTCCGATCTGTTCAAAAATATCAGAATTTAAATATCTTCAGAATTATTGTGGGTATCAAATGAATTGGTTTAAGGCGTATATCCAAAATTTTTATCTTTACCGGTATTTGAATTGATCAGTATAATCAGAAAAGGTAATCACAGCACATTTAAAGAGAAATAGGGGTTATAGAGGGTGACACATCTAACACACAGAATTGATTTTCTCGTGATATGGGTAAAGAAGAAATGGGCACCTATGAAATTAGTTCCATTCATATCAATGGTGAAGTTGGACGAGACATTTTGAAGAGCTGCCAAGAAAGCTTCATTAATAAGCTCCGTGTCTTGAATCTGTGGACTGGTTTCATTGCTGGTGGTGTTAGACGATGGTGTGTCTTTAACTTTGATTGTGAAGTCAACGATGATACTCCCCTGTCTGAAATGAGCGAAGAAAACTTTCATCCATCGTCTCTTAAACATTTCAAAAACTATTTCAGTCCATCTTGAGTTGGAGCAGTGGTTTCAAACGACGATGACTTTCATCCTAAAGACGGGAATTGGCAGTTTGGGGAAGTGATACAAAATATGATGTATGTTTGGCAATAAGATAAGTATTTCGAACACACCTGTTTCTACGCTTAGTTTGATTTAACCTTTAAAAATTTCTATGATGGAAGCCATGATTAAGCTCTTGTATTAAGAAGTTATTTTGATAATTACTCTTTTGGATTTCACGTTTTTTTGTACCGTGTGCTTTAGTCGGTGAGCGTTAAAGATATGAAAATTGAAGATCGGTAAAGATTTATGCGGTTATCCTCGCAATATTTCCCTTATTGAACACTGTATAGCTTTATCCGACTTCAGTATCCCAATCATGTACAGAAAAGCCCATTTATATTAGAGTAAAAATACAGTAACCTTGTCTTACCTGACAGATTGGATAGAGACATCCTGATAAAGATGACTGATCTCACTCGAATCAAAAATATAATCCAACTGAAAAGAATCCAACAGTATGATTTTGCGTACTTCCAACTGATACCATGTCGAAATCACGTTTTGGAAGCATAAGTTATTGATTAGAAAAAACAATTATGCATTCAAAATTGTATTTTATTTGGCAAATCCTTAGATATACTGGCGTAATAAAGCTGTTTCATTTTGAAAAATAACTAACTGCATTTCGTATTATATTGATAAAGGCCGATTAATCAGTATGATTCAAACTTTGTCTTACCAAATTCATCATCTGATTTTCAAGATTTCGATACGCTGTGGTATTAGTATAATTATACTCTGTCTGCCAGTCTAAACCGTGGATAATCTTCAAACTACCCTGAGCTTGAATGATTTCTGTACTGCCTCCAGCATCTCTTTTACGACGTTTCCTAGCCAGACCGTATTGGACGGCGTCTACGTCGAAAATATTTTCTGAATAGAGCACGGCTAATGGTATTCTGAATGTCTGTGGTGCGCTGCTGATGCAGTCAGCACAAAGTTCACCAAGTATTGCTCCGGAACTTGTTAATTCGTTGTAAAATTCTTCGTTGTGTGTTCCTGAAGGATTGTGTATGAAGTTAAAGATCTTAAGGGTGGCCAGATATGAATAACACTCGTACCCGTCCATTAGCAATTTCATTTTGAAATTAGAAACTTAGAAGAAAGACAAACCACAATAATACACTTGCATGTTTTGATTTGATTTGATTATGATCGACGAAAATCACACTGAGCCTATTTGAATTTTGGAAAACATATTTCAAAATATAATTCAAAATACTTACTTAAAACTTGTGAATATCCAGACAACATGTTTAAAAATGTCTGATTTCTTTTATAACAGAATTATTAAAATTCCAAAAAATATTTTAGTTGATATAGATATGATAATTATATATTTCATATAATATATATTAATGTATATTGTGTTATCTCTTAAACCCTAAATAACACAATAAAAAAGCTTTCGCTTAAAACTGCAAGTTTAATACACTTCTAAATCAAAGGGAATGCCTAAAAAACCCAAATGTCTGATTGTTCTTAATTTAGACTAGTCTTTCGTGTGCTTTAGAATTAAGCCAAATACCATGAAATAAAGTTATGAATTTATTATTAGATCTAAAATAATAATGATTTATATGAATTATTATCTAATTTTATTGAGCAATAATTTGTGGTTAAAGTTAAATGCAGTGTTTCGACGTTTTTCTCTTGTCGTCCTCGAGACAACCATTCATTAAAAGGTATATTATTATATTAGTTAATTTATAACAAGTATAGCACAATATTTAGGAAAGTAAAATATTATTCTTAAAATTTATGCTCACCTTGAAAAAAGTATAAAAATATTAAGATGCATAGTGAAAACGCCATATTTATTGTTTGGCTACAAAATTTCAATACAAGTCCGTTTTGGATTAAAATCCATTCCCTTGTTGCATGTTTGGCATCCTCTGTTAAAATGAAATTAAAGACTCGGTTTAAACTTGCGTTTCATATGAAATGAGAAAAATTGAGTATAAATTGTTAATTGTGATTTTATTGATCGATAAAAGAATTGTTTTATCCCAGGAAATGTTTTGTATTAGAACTTTAATTATTTGTGAATTTTCACCTGTTCATTAAGAAGATATGTATGTTAGATCATTATCTATTCATAACTCATTTATATTAACAAAAGATGAGACACGCTAAGATACTTCTATTATCGTTAGAATGTGAAGAAATTCAGGTCTTTTTCCTTAAATATTTCCACTTATATCACATCTGCGTGATCAAACTTAATTATGAAAATGGCTGACACTTTAAACGAAATGAATCAAAGTATGGATAACCTTAATAACCCTAAATATTCGATGACCTGTTTACAAGCCTTAGGGGTTAAAATCTGAGGTACTCTAATATATAAAATTATCAAACGTATTGGATATGGTTAGCAAAAAAGTAAAACAGAATAGTTTGTAGGTTCAAAGAAGAGTGAGAATAGATAGAGAGATGGATAGTTAAGAATAGATAGAGAGATGAGTGGTGAAGAATAGAGAGATGAGTGGTGAAGAATAGAGAGATGAATGGTGAAGAATAGATAGACAGATGGGTGGTGAAGGATAGAGAGATGGTGACGATCAATAATAGAGATGTGTGGTGAAGAATAGATAGAGAGATGTGTGGTGAAGAATAGATAGAGAGATGTGTGGTGAAGAATAGAGAGATGAATGGTGAAGAAAAGATAGAGAGATGAATGGTGTAGAATAGATAGAGAGATGAGTTGCGTAATGGTTGATATTATTCGAGAATGGTCTCATCAATATACATGTAACTGTGGACGAATTTCTGAGATCCAATGAAATGATTTCTTTGAACAATATTTGATGTGATTGGCAATAAGTGCAATTCAATTAAATCAAATCAACTATAAGATTTAAATTGTCTCTATAACATTATCTCCCTTGCGACTGGTTAAACTTAGTTTACTCGATACGCTTCACTTCAAATAGTAGAATTAAAAAAAAATTATCTTGTATTATTATTTTAACGCTTATGCATATAACACTAAAACAATGCTATAATATTAATGTTTTAAACGGATTATATAACTTAATTAAGTAATTACTGAGATGAGATACTTAGTTAACTCTATAAGGCCCTAGATAGCTTCATGAGATAAAAACTTACTTTGTTTAATTAGACTTATAAGGTTCATAAAGGGTCATCCTTTACATTCTTCATTAATCAATACATGTACATTGTATCGATCGTTTTGGTCAGGTGCTTATCTAGCAAAAATCTTAAGAGACTCCTTAAAGGCGCACCTGCACTATCCGTTCGACCAATAATACCTTAGTTTCAGAAACAGGAATTTTTTGGCTAACATAATCAGTAATAGTGTTCACAGCTCGTCGTCGAAATTTGAGCCTTCAAATCCATGTGTATCCATAATAATTCGCGTTTGAAAGTTAAAAATTCGACTCGAATTTTAGTGAGACTATGCCATATAATAGAAAACACATATATAGGAATAGACAGTGAAATTTCTAGTCTGAGGTATATTTGAAGGGATTATGCGATTTTCGTGCGTTTTGGTACTTCTTAAAACTATTAAGTACAATAAAGACTCAAATCAATCCCCGAAAATGCCCACTGTTCCTTTTTAACAAAGTTCTATTTGACAAAACTACATTCTTTGGCTACCATGTAATTTGCTTCAGAAATTTTGGCGCGTTATACCTTTGGAGCACCAGCGTGACTTTTCGCGCAATGGAATACATAGAGACTTGCTCCAAATTTGACCATATCAATAAAATTGTGCTTTCGACAGAAATGTTTCAGATCTTTCCAAATAGAAAAGGTAGCACGGTGCAATATTGGTTGTCGCAAGCGACAAATTGACTTGTTTAAAATTACAGGATTCTTGGTGCATCAGCTTACATATAATAACAAGGCAATGAAGTCGTATATAATGTTCTTTATTTTTTCTGTTAAAACTAACGTGTTTAAATATACCTTATTTCACATAGATCAGTGAAGGAGCGATAAACTGTTAAATCAAATGGCAATAATAGTTATCCGTATATCGACCGATATAATACTGAACCGATTTTTCATAATCTGCATCTCTAAATTTACATGTGTTTAATAGTGCTATACTTGTAACCGTGATCCCATTGTGACTGTGATATGCGAAAGCATATATATTCTAGATGGGAAAAGGTTTTCTTTCATAAGGAAATTTAAAATTGAGGTTTTCCAATTCTTCACGTTGACAACTGGCCTTCAAGAAATACATAAAGAGTTTCAGATTCCCTTTTACCGCATTAATCTATCTTTGAAGGCACGTAAAATGAACCAATGGTTTTCATTACGTTCTTCAACACGAAAAATACATTTAAAAATTAAATACCAATTTATTATGCTTATTAGCTAAAGTTACAAGAGAGAAAGGGTAGATAAGTTGCAGTGGCGTTTCTAGGAAACATCAGGAGAGGGGGGCAAGAAGAAACGCCACTAATATTTTGCCTAAAAATTTCTGGTTGTCTCGATAGAGAGACTTTATATTTCTATGGATTATCGTCAAGCACAAAAATATCGAAGAGAGCACGGGCTGCAAAAGAACTAAACCATTGTAAAAAGTCTAAAAATATCCGACAGTCCACGTCAGTGTAGCCTTTGCAATGCTATCCCAATGTTGCCGCGATCATCCATTTACTCCGAAAACAGGCTAATGATCTTCTTTCAAATCCTCCTCCATGGCAATCAATTGAGCTTTCAACTCTTCCATTTTTAACCCGATTGTTCTCATGACTTGTTGTTTCTGACTATCGGATATTTTAGCCAATAGTTGCTGGTAACTTTCTAACGTTTCTTTAACTGCTTTCTGGGCGTCTTCCACGTCTTCTGAGAAATAAGTTGTGCCTTTACTCTCTCTCTGAAAAATAAGAAAAAATAAATACAGTGAATTTCTAAATATTATCTCCTATCTTGAAAAATGAGTTCAAAGTCAAATTTTCAGGGAAAGTAAGAGATAAAAAGAGGAAAATAACTAGTCACTAATCAATGCCAATTGATCTATTTGTGTAGAAGACCCTTAGATCTTACATGGCATGCCCTTAGGGCTTAAATTTTCTTTTTCCTCGGATACGACCCTCACTATGACTAGCTTTTAAAATAATGTAAGATAGACAGTAGCCTCATATGCCTTTGCTTTGAATACTCACAGCATCTTCCATCATTTCTCTAGCTTCCATAAACTGGTCGCTGATAGTTTCTATTCCTTTCTTTAGTTCGCTTTCTTCTATGCCGTTAGATGTGTTTAAAAGCCCTTTAGTTATACTGAAAGTTCTACTTGTTGTTTTCACATCACGGTTAAAATGTGATTTCAGGAATGTCTGATCTATATGCTGAATAGACCCATATGATGTGAACAGTCTTGAATTCATACGCTGTGGGTATTTAGACCTATTATAACAAACGTTATGTTCAGGCTCCAAATGAAACGTTCCCATTCCAGCACCAGTGCATGCCTTCAGTTTCAAAGACGTTTTGGCACCTTCAAACCGCCATAAGGCTTGTCGTAATTTTAAACAAGCCATATTAATCGCAAGTTTATTCACTTTGAAACGCTAATTGGTTCTATTCGCTAATACAGTGCTTCGATTATGAAGAAATTGCCATGAACATTCAGCTATTGATTTCAAATCAATGTTTACTCTACTTTCGCTTTACAGATACCCGGATGTAAGTTTACCGGAAGCGGAAGTGAGAAACGAGAACCGTGTTTCGTCGATGCCAGAAATATTTGAATAAAAATCTTGTTTTAGCACAAAATCCAGGTATGTATTTAAAGGATTATTTAATTAACTATGGAGACTTCCACCGGAATACATATTCTTCAAACTAACATCAATGGTTAAGGGGAATACGACACAGAAATCCTACAAATCGCAATTTTCACAGGCGGTGCTGAATCAACGTGGTTCGTCGGAGACTAATTTGCATCTCAAATTTTAGAAATTTGTTCCATACTAAATTCATTTGCCTTGATCATCTGATTCTATATATCCTGTTTGTATTTTTGAAAATGATCGTTTAGCCCTTGTCGTTTGCAAAGTATTATATTTTGTCTTCCAAAGTTTCGAAATGGAACGAAATTGGCAGCATCTCCATAACGACAGATGACATCACGTCATCCTTTTCAGCAGTAAATTTTGCCGTTTCTTAGCTACTAAGTTGGACTTCTACTTCTATTACTAGAGCTAGAATTCTTGCAAAACTTTTTTCAAAGCGATTAAAAGTTGAAGATAGTTATCAATTGTGTTCAATTTCAAGATTTCTTTGATCAAAATGTAGGTGTCCTTCTTTAGCTTCAATTTCAAATGATTTCTTGGCTTAGTTTTTCTTTTTTAACTATTTGAAATTTTGACTCAGTCAAAGTCAGTCTGCAAAACTCACTTTGATCTTTTTGATCTTTGAAACTTTCATGGCCTAAACTTTGTCTTTAAAGAGTATCTAGAAGAGTCTTTACAGCTTTGTTCTCATTTGTAATTGATCTGGAATCTTAAAAAAAGCTTTTGTTTCAAGTAAATGCATTTCTCCAAGCTAAAAATCCAGGCAAAATCCCTCTTCCAAAGTCCTTCATTTAGAAGAAGTTTTCATTCAGTTAAGAAATTTAGGGTCCAATTTGTTGATTTTTGACAGAAAAATCATTCAGAGAAACTCAAAAATCAGCACAAAATCAAGTTCAATGCATGAAAATAAACATTTTGAAAAATATCTGAACATGAGCTATAACAGCCTATATGCTCAATTTAAAGTTTTCAAAATCAATGACGATGATCTAAATCCAATCTTGGGCTGAAAGCATCATTTTTTTTTTTTTTTTTTTTTAATCTTGTAAGAAAGAGAAATTTTATATGAATTTGATAGCTACTCGTAGAAAATTTACTTCACAAGACAACTTTACTGTAGACCAAATGTTAAAAAGAATTCACTGCCATAAAAAAAATTAGCACCAAATAGCTTGTGTTCCCTACAATTTAACACAGATCTTCTAACTCTTCTCCTTTCTTTCAGGAGGGGTTTTAAATTACCAATGCTATGCCAGCTTGTGCTTCAGATAACATCCCTAATCTCACAGAGAGTTTAAGGAGTAACTTATCTGTAGGACAGGACATAGATCAGTCAGTGATATCGTCAGCAAAGAAAGCTTTACTTCATCAAATAAACTTCAAATCAGCTGTCAAACCACATAGTTTACAAATTGATTCGTTAAGGACTAAATATATCCCGTTGAATCCTTCCAAAAACTATGGACCATCATCTCTAGAACCCGGTTCTAAAAGAGATAATTCATTCAAAGGTAAGTTCAAGATTTGTTTTTTTTTTTTACCAATTCTTTTTAACTTGGGTTTGAATCATTCTGATCCTGATGATTTAAATGTGCAAAGGGAGATTATCATCTAAATATCAGCTTTCCACAGCAGTTATTGGAATTAAAATCTGAACCCTTTTTGGACTATTTTCACTTCCAGGATATTATCATTTTCAAATATTGGTGGCATGTTTTTGTATATTATAGTTTTAAACAGTTGATGAATCTTTGATTCTAGGTCAGTTTTGAAAGATTTGTAATTTTTTTTTTTACATATTCCAGATAAAATGAATGATCACAAACCCGAAAAGAGTGGCGAAGGACTTCCAAGTCCAAGAGTTGTTTTATATCCGGCAGATAAAATTGCTTTACAATGGAGGAAAATTCACAAAGTGGGATCAGGATTGGAGAATATGGGCAATACCTGTTATGTGAATGCTCCATTACAGAGCTTGTGTTATACACCACCTTTAATTAACTATTGCTATAGTCAAGAACATTCTCTGCACTGTAAGTATAAGCTTACATTTTAGGTCTCTAATTCTATATAAGACAGAGCTAATAAACTGCCGTATAATGATAAAAGATTGAAAATAGATATAATGATAAAGATTCCTTTTAAAAGGCCCTTCTAAAGTTCCAGTATATTTATTGATTAAATGATTATAAACATTGAATAAGTTGCCTTATATGAATGCCGCTATCCTAGCTAGCACTTCAATTGATAGACTGTCAATGAATTCAATTCTTTGACTAAAATGGCTTTCAGTATTGATTTCTACTGCCAGTTTAAATACTTTTATCAATTAAGGTCTAAAATTTCAATAATTATCATTGAACTTAGATGATATGATAGATATGATGTTATAATAATTTTCAGATCAGTGTCAAATAAAAACTTAAAATTTTTTAAATTTGTGGTATTCTTTGGTGAAGTATAGTGATTTAAATTGAAGATGAATATTGAATTATAATGATCTGTGACTGCAAAGAATTGATACTGAATTCTTGTAGTGACAGATGATATGATCTTTAAATAATACACTTTATATAAATTCACATTTTAAGTATCATTTCATTTTTTTATCAGGTAAAAATCCAAGTACTTGTTTGATGTGTGAGTTCATAAGACATGTGAGAGAGAATTTTGAAGCAAATCAGACCTTTTTGACACCATCTGGAATCTTCGCAAGAGTTAAGCATAAGACAATCTGTAAGTTTGAAATATTGCCTTCTTTTGTAATAAAATTACATTGAGTCTGTTTTAATGTTTCTTTTGATAAGCTTATAACCTCATAATATAAAAAACATGTATAAGACTACTTTGGTAGTTTTTGAATGTAGTTTTACAAGTTGATATAAACTTTCCATTATTGAACTCTATGTATTTGAGAATATTTTTTGTAATTCTTAAATGAAAATGATCAACAATGTCTGTGTTCATTTTCAGCACCATTAAAACTATTTACTAATGGTAAACAAGAAGATGCTCACGAATTCTTGCGTTATATGATAGATGGAATGCAAAAGTCTTGTTTAAATGGGTATAACAAGTAAGTACCAGTAATAATCATTTGATTTAGAAGTGTATTGGACTCTTAATGTGACTTGTCCTCTTGGAGCTCTGGAAATGTGAAGCAGCAGCCACACTGTTTGACTGTCACAAACAAATTATTATGAATTTATAAACTAACTGAATACTATTTATTTACAGATTGGATAGATACAGTAAAGAAACTACTGTTATTAATCAGATATTTGGTGGATTTTTACGCAGTCAAGGTAAGCAAAATATATTCTAATATTCTATGATTACATGAGGACATTGGCATTACAATGAGTTATAAAGCTATCTGAAATAGTTTTCAATTTAACTGTTATAATTGAAGCAAGTTTTCACCAAGCACTTTTAATTGCACATTTCTAAAATTGTAAGTCTATGCTAATGTGTTAAAATGTTTAACAAAAATAAATGTTACCAGTTTAAAAATATATTTTAATATTTCATAATTACAGTGCTGTGTACGAGGTGCAAGAATAGATCTAATACTTATGACCCTTTTATGGACCTGTCTTTGGATCTAAGGGTGAGTAAGCTTAAATTCTGTAGTAGAAGAAAGATCATTGACAAGAAGGGCTTGTCTTGTGCTGTCAACCATATACATATTAAAATTTGAGTCCAATACTGTACTAAATCCTCCTGTTACACTGGCTGTTGATCAATAGTCAAGCATGTTATTGAAGTCTCGTGGGTTTTTAGTTTCCAGTTACTACTGATATCCACGGGAAAAAAAGAAAGAAAGCAATCTTCAAGGTATGATTTCGGAAGCGTTGCGTCGTTGCTGTTCTGAGTTAAAGCGTTTATTTTGTGTTTTGAGTGTTTGTTTGTTTGTTAGACTGTTTGTTATGAATGGGACACAACTGTGAGTTATAGTCAATTTACAATATATATGAGCCCCGCGGATGTATCACATCACTTTTAAGACTTATATTAAGAAAGTATAAATTATGGATGCAGTCTGGATTTCTATACTCACTTTTCATGTTTTGATATGTACTGGATGTTCAAAAATATTGTTACCTGACTATACAATGTCCAACAATAAGTTGAATGAATGATTGAATGAATACTAAGAGAGATTTGATTTTCTGTTGTTCTATGCTCTGTGATGTAAACACAGCAATTGATCATAAAACTAAATCTATTTTTGATATTTTCAGAACAACACTAGTGTTGATAAATGTTTGGAGAAATTCTTCTTGCCTGAGTATCTGGAAGGGGACAATGCCTATATGTGTCCAGTTTGCCAACAGAAAGTTAGAGCTCAGAAAAGATTTACTATTCAAAAAGCACCTAATGTTCTTACTATACATCTTAAGAGGTAAATATCACATTTTAAAATTTGTATCATCTTATGTCAGATATTCCTATTCCAGATGTTCTGTTTCTCTTAAGCTTAAAGGGTCTTATCAAACTGGCAATTGTCTATTCTAAATTGTCATAGCAATTTCATTCATCTCAGTACTTTTACTCTTGCAAAGACTTTACAGTCCCAGTTTATGGACTTTGTTTTTAGAGAGCATTGCTTCTAATATTTTTTTCACATTACATATATGTTTCTTTGTGTTTTAGATTTGACTTTGATAGGATGTGTAAAGTAACGAGACATATTGACTTTGAAAAGAAGATTAACATTCGTCCATACATGAGCTTCAGACAGGTTGGTGTTTGTTTTTAGTTCTAAATCTGACTTTCCTGGGGTTATTATATTATATCTGATATAGGAGAGCCCTTATTGGTACAAAACATACTACATTGTAGTTCACATGCTTGCTTCTTGTCCTTAAGTTCTGTTATTGGTGATATAACTTACATTTCTGAATAGGAATTTCAACTCTGAAAGAAGTGTCAACACTTTTTATTCAAAGCACTTCAAGGGGTGTATTTATCTGTGATGTAATAAGATATTATTATATTATAGGGAGAACCTGTACTCTATGATCTATACAGTATTATTGTACATGCTGGAGGTAATATGAATGGTGGACATTATTTCTCCTATAACAAGGCACCTAATATGATCTGGTACAAGATGAATGACGATATGGTAACAAATTTTTTTTATTTTTGGCAAACTTCATGACTTGTTTATTGGGCAACAATTCTTAAAAGGGCACTTATTGTCTTCTGCAAACAAAAAATACACCATATGCCTTGTACTTCTCCTGTATCTTCAAATATTGATACTCACTAATTTAATGCTCATTAGTTTAATAAGGGCTGAAGAACAATGAAATAGTCTTGGATGTAACATTTGTATGGTGCATTTACTATAATGTTATGTTATACTACCCCAGTTTTGTTCATTATGTTTTGATGTCTATTTCAGGTACAACAAGTCAGTGCCCAGAAAGTGTTCCACTGTGAAGCCTATGTATTACTGTATGTTAAATCAGAACTCAACTATCAGAGTATTCAAATGGCCAAGGTAAGATAGCGGAAATTTCAAAGAGATTTTAGATATTCATTCATAAAGTTTAATCTGGAAACATGTCTCTATGAACTGTTTTATGTGTATTTTTCAATCTGAATGTTTTAAGTGTTTGAGAAGATTTTAATTACAAACTTTAGGGTGTTTGCCTTCACACTTCCTTCTGTTTATTGCAACAGTTTATGATAACAATTGTGTTTATATATTTCAGGCTGCCTACATGGCACCAATGAAACCACTGTCACTGTTTCCTAATAGTAATAATAATTACAAGAAGGCTAATGGTAAGTCATTAATTGTTATATGAAAGTTTATCTCTGGTGAAAGAACCTGAAAACAAGGAATTCTATATTTAATTCAATAAAATACCAGGTAATGGTAATGATGCAAAAAATCAAGATTTTCGACACATAAAAAGTTTAGAAAAACCCCTTTGCTAGATTTGATGTAATGTAGTAGAAAGCTTTTAAATTCTGTGTTAATATATTTTCAGGTATACCTACTAACGAACTTGGTACAGCGATGATGAGAAAGACTTCGACTAAGTCACTCTTCTCACCTGATAAGCCTTTATTTACTCCTGATAAAGTCACCAAGTCTGCTTCTACATCCTCTATTTTACCACCTAAACATGATAAAGTGAGCTTTGGTATCAAACCAAACCCTCATAAAGATCCTAACAAGCCTCCTATTATCGTAAAGATAAAGAATGGCAAGGTGTATAATGAGACAGAGGAAAAGAAAGCTAAGTTAGTACCCTATGGTAATGATAGTGATTCTGATAGCTCCAGATCTAGTGGATCTAGAAAGAGAAAGAAGGAGAAGGAAGCTGATGGTGATAAAGAATCCAAATTTGCTAGTACTGCTATTAATAGTATTGTTATGAATGGTCATTTAGACACCACTACTTCAGTACCTGGTAATAACAAACTACTTCATTCTATATCTGAGAACGGTCTTATTAGTCCTACTAGCAAGACTAAAGAACTTTACCTTAAACTCAACAAGAGTACTAAACTCAATGGTGAAAGCTCGGCTTTATTATCACCTAAAGTGAATGCAACAAACAACCATTGGTCAGTGCAGTTAAATGATTCTGCTCCTAGTCCATGTTCTAGCAGTAATCATAGTAGTACAAACTCTACATCAGAATGGCATGTAACTGGTGGTAAAGACCAGGGAAAACTCAGTGAAAAGAACCACAACGGCTGGACTGTTACCCCTATTGGCAGCAGTACTAGTATCTGTAGTGTTACGAGTGATTGTAAAGACATTCATCCTACAGATGGTTTAGAAAAGAATATCAATGGTGTGTTCTCGGAATCCTGTTTATTAGGATCCAAAACTGACACTTCTCCTTTGAAGAAGTCTCATAGTGAAACCTCTGTGCAAAGTACAAAACCTCCTTTTACTGAACTATGTCACGAGAAAACTAAAGACATTACTGTTAATGGTATCACAAATCCTGCGTATGAGAAGGATTGTGAAACTAGTTTTAAAGTGAATAGTAAGAAGGAGAAATGTGATAGTTATAAATTAGATGATTTCTATTATAACAACAGAATGAGAGTTGACGTCTCTGATAAACAACACTTACTGTCCGAACCATCTTCACCTCAAACCTCTCATAAAAAACACAAGAAGAGTAAGAAACCTAAGAAAGAGAAAGAAGGAAAATATGAGGAATTAGTCAATGAAAGCAGCAGCTCTGGTGACGCGCAGCAAAAAAAATTAAAGAAAAAGAAAAAGAAACATCGAAAGCATGACAAAGATGACTCAGATAATGAACAGAAGGTTAAGAAATTAAAACGTAAATCTGAAGATGGAGATGTTGATGATGATATTGATAATAAGAAATCTAAGATTAATGGAGACGAGGAATATGAATGGGTTGAAAAGAAAGTTGACAGTAAACATGTTAAACAAGGTGAGCATTCTCAAAATTACATAAATAAGACAATTTTATAGATAGATATTTCTGGTATATTTATTACTTCAACGTTTCAATGTGATTTTCACACCGTCATCAGGAATATAATATACCAGAAGTATATATCTATATAATTGTCTTATTTATCTATATCTTGTGCTTCTAATATGCCATTGGAAGATTATTCTCAAAATTGTTTTTTTTTTCTTTTACTAAGTCTATGCCACAATAGTTTTAGACCTTAAACATTTTAATTTAATTGTTATATTCCATTTTTAATTGATTGACTACATAATGTTATTGGACAGATCTGAATATGTAGTTCAGAGGAGATCATCTTATGTTGTATATAAATTCAATCATCAAGACAACTGGTAATGAGATTTGACTTTAGATTCCAATATTAAAGTATTTGATAAGTAAGCAAGCGCTCTCTGTAACTTTTATGTTCTATTTATAGATGATGGCCTCTCTTGGGATTATTATATCAATAAAGATAAACGTGATGAAAAACCAGTTCATGTTTCTGGTTGGGATGGACAGAAATCTTCTAATATTGTTAAAGAATTAGAGAAAAATTCTATGCATGGATATGGAGGTTCAGGTAAGAATATTTAAATATTTTAGTTTAAGTTTAGTCCATTTAGAAGAATGAGAATTAAATTTTGGATTGGATTTTAGCAATAATGGGTCACTGGTTAATCTGTCAAAGAGTTGAAAATGTTTCTGTTATGGATCACTAAATTCTGTAAGCTTAGTTGAATATTGGAATCGAACACATATTTTAACAGTCTTTAGTTTGATACCAATAAGGGTTTTTACTCTACAGTAAATGTTCATAAAGTAGACACAATTATAACATTTCTAACTTTATTTTATTAGTATTATCCTGGGATGGTAATAAATCTAAGTTGAATGAAGAATGTGATAAAGAAAGAGTGAGAGAAAAACGTAAAATGAATAAAGAGGATAGCTATGATGAGGAATATGACAGGGGAAAGGTAAGTTTAATGTGTTTAAATTTTGTTCTTCAACTCGAAATCTCTGCTTGGACAGATTTTATTGTTTTGCTTGAATTTATTCTTGCGTTTAAGAGTTGAGACTAAGTCAATGTTCGTTCATAGGTTTCATGACTAGATATGGAACAAGTCAGATTCCATGTAATGATTTTATAGTGCCGAAATAGTACTTGAAGTCTAATTTACAACGTGGTTTTTAACTCTTTGTTTTATTACAGGTAAAGAAAATTAAAACTAAACAAGAAGAAAGATCGTTTGGGTTTAATCCTTTCCAGAAATTTCAAGACTATAGAAACAAAAAGGTTAGTTTTGTAATCTGAATTAGTTTTCACTTCTTATTTTACCTCAGAAGGATATTATGTTTGGAAATGTTCACAACAATTTTTTTACCGTGTCATTGAAAATGGAGGTTTTGGCCAATTATATTCATCCTATCATATTTGAATGTGTCTAAAATGTTTTTGATCAATTGTGCAATATTTTTACGTTATTTTTTGAATTTCAGACAAATGGCTCAAGCTCCTCTCACAGTTCACCATCATCCAACAAACGCTGGAAATCTTCCTACACTTTTCATGGTAAACATTCTTATTCTCGAAACCCTCATCATGGAAATCATCATTCAAGTAATCATCATCATCATAATCATCATCATAATCATCATCGTTCAGACAATAATAACAACAACTATCGACGTCATGACAATCGACATTATAGTAAACACTGATATCATTGTTATTATATAATATACTCTAAATTATTTTGTAAATTGTAAATTAGAAAACTGCCAGAAATTTTGTTAAAGATTCCAAATTCTCAGTAAAATCTATGGTCTTACGTATTTTGTAAATTGTAAATTTAAAAGTTGCCTGAAATTGTGTTTCTAAATTCTCAGCAGAATATATTCTCCAACTTATGTCGTAAATTGTGAATGAAAATCTGTTTGAAATTTTGTTAAAGATCTTTAAAAAAATAATTTTGATTTTGATTATCATTTTAAATTGTCAGAAAAATCTATTCTCAAAATAATTTACTAACTATGTACATGCTCATAGCACTATTGACTATTTTATTATTTTGTGGTTTTGATACGGTAGATTTTGACCTCTAGATTACTTTTTCACTTTTCACAATTTCTTAATGTCTGAATTATTTTGTAACTTTACAACTTGTCTTATTGTGTTGGCCAAATTTCAGTGAATTTTCAAAAGAAAATTGTATGCGGCTCAGCTATCTGTTTTTCTGGCTCTGAAATAATTATGTCGAACTTTAATAAAATTGCACCAAATTTTGTACTTTTTATGAAATTAGATTGTAAAGAAAAAGGGACGAAAGAATTTGATATTTTGATGCCTATTTATAAACCGGTAAAGTTCCTTATCATGTTGTAAGATGAAAAATTGTATTAATTTCAAAAATCCAATCATGTGTCAATTTTTTTCATTTAAATTTCATTTACCACAAAACCATTGATATTTTTAAAGATAATTTTGAATGAAAATAATGTGAAATGTAAAAATATGATTTTGTTAAAATAATTTTGTATAGAAGTAATGTAACATATAAACTGATAATGTTTAAATTTGATTTTGAATGAGTGCGAGAATATGAAGTGTAGTGATTTGGAATGGTGTGTTATGAAATTGTAATACTGAGTATAATCTTATTGT